GGCACCAGAGATATACTCCATGCCAAACCCCCCGCTCCCCCGGCTAGCCCATTGATTAGATAACAACACATCCGCCTGAACCATTACGAAAGTATTTAAAAAGAAAAAAACAAACCAAAAAGGTGGGGACAGCGAGGGGACCAGCCCGGTGCCATGCCGAAAATGCGGATGGGACCAGGGTCCGCTCCTACCCCACACACGACCCAAGTAAGCCAGATCACCGACACCCGCCCTATTACCACCCGAGCATAACACTAATTATAAAGATCACCAACATTGGGGTGAACAAAGAAGACGAAACACCGGGTCAGGTCAAACTAACAGGGCATATAGCTGTCAGACCCTGGGGCTTAGGTCCAGCCAGGACGAACAGCTGAAGCAAACCTTAAAACCCGTATAAGATCAACTGAAAGAATCATAGGTCACATGGACTATAGCCTCGGGGGTTACAGTTCAATTCATTGTAAGCTATGAAATTGCAACATTAATGTTTCACTACTGGTTACTATCCCTGTTTAAATGTCAAAATTGCAAAATAAAGAATGTAAAAAAAAAAAAGAAAAAACAAACCAAAAAAAATGATTATTATTTTTTTTTAATACACTGATATAAGCTGTAAAATTCATGTATCACATGGTAGCATAGTATTGGAAACCATATGAGTTGAGATGGAGAAGCAATTTCTTTGAGCTTGTTAAGCAATATCTATGTATGCATTATCATGGCCGAAAGGTGACGAAGTGCTGTTTATTCACACGTTTTCTCATTTCATATTTCAGGCTTAGGTCACCGAGGAATATTGCTGAAGAACTTGACCCAACTTTTAAATCCAAAAAGGAACCCAGCAATGAAGTGTTTGCAGTTTATTCACAGGGTAAAGACTTTGAGAAACTACCTTTCTGTGTTAATTTTACATGGGGTGAAATATATATCTGTCCTCTGTTGTTCTCAATCATATTTAATCAAATTTATAGTAACGAGCCCCTAAAATGTATTATCTATTTTTAAGAGGAGATGAGAACCTTTCCCTGGTGAAATAGTAATCTTCCTACCCAGGCACACAATTCATCTATGCTCTCTGGTTGTCTGGAAACGATGTACAGAGACAAGCAGATTGGTCAGATTTATCTATGATTGCTTCAAAGCATTACCACTCGTCCTTCTAAAACTGTATCCATTTTTAACATACTGTCTTTTGTTCCACAAATATTTAAAAAAAATATTGATGTAGGCAGTAGAAGGGTGATAATTGAGAAAGGAGTAGAAACCCATTAAAATCCATAGTTCAGTCTTCGGAATTAGCTAAATTACTAATTTAAGATACGTTATTGTATTGTTGTTGTCCAATTGGCTATGTCTGGCTAATGTCTTTAACACAAAGTGTTTTGAAGGATCTCGATTGTTCTCCACTTTTTCTACCTTATGTTTATAAACATTGTGTCATGATTTTGCTTCCAAATGTTTACCATTTTAGGTTTTGTATCAAATGCTCTAACCAGTACTTTCTTCAACCTAGAATTTCCTGTTCCTAGCCAGACCCAGGCATTGCCTGTTGATGGCTTCTATGAACTGATGGATGATGGAGCTGAGCCAATATTTATACCACCGACAAAACGTCAGTCAGAGAAACTGGGACGCAGTAAACCAAAAGACAAGAAAGAAGGATGTAAGCAACAGTGACTCTGGATCTCTTTTTCTAGCCATCATCCTATTGCCAAGCTTTGTGTTCAGTGTCAAGTCAACGTTGTGGACCTATTCAGTGTTCATCAACACAAGTGGAATTAATTCATTCAGGGATGAAGAAGATAATCTGATTTTTGCATTCAGGTGCCTTAGGCATTTTTGGACTACAGAAAGTGGCTGTTTTATACCTTTGAGTCTCAGAAGGTGGCGCCAAGCAATGCACTGCTGACGTTTACTCTTCGGCACACAAGCGGTTAACGTGGAGCCAGATCATGACCTCAGTTTGGCGATAAAGAAGCACATATTAGTAACAAAATGTCCCCTCCCCTAGAGGATTCATATTATTACTCTAAATTTATTAGTGTGTTTAAAAAAAATAATGGTGTATGAGAAGGATTCATCGTGACTTGTGCGTTTGATCCATCCTGTAAATGAGTTTTCTGCTTCAAAATTCATAAATCTTGAGAAAGGAAAATATTTACATACAGATCATTAGAAATATTTTTTTGTAATGTTATTCCCATAAAGTATTATTTGAAGTTGCTTACCCACTTTCTTGGTCTCTATAATATTGGATTGTCCTCATTATGTGTTTCTTTAAATTGCGGAAAAAAAGCAGTGTTTGAGTACAATATTTTTTAAACATTTTGCACTGATATATTCTTTTTTTTTTTTATTATTATTATTATTATGATAACTGTTACTCCAATACTTTTCTGGTGCTTTTGTGTATAGATCCCAAATGCCTTTAGAACATTTACTTTAAGAAAACAAAACATTTTTTATATAAAATACAACAAGTATTATTTCTATTTGTTGTTTGTGCTTATTTAATTAGTTTCACTGATTTTCTGTTTCAGTAATGTAACATTATCACTGTATTGATGATATAATTCATTTGACATTATAAGCCTTTAAAAGATGGTGGGTCCACTCATTACTTGAACGTTGATGTGGGTTCACAGAACATTTGAAATCTCCAGGAATTACTGTATTCTATTTAGGTCTCTATTGGCTGCTTATCCTGCGATCTTGCCTTATTTTGCAGAATGTAAAGGGATCCTATAGTCACCAAAACAACTTTAGTTTAATTAAACAGTTTTAGTTTTATAGATCAAGTTTCACAGCTTAAAGGGACACTATAGGAACCCAGACCATTTCAGCTCATTGAAGTAGTCTGGGTGCAGTGTCCTAAGTCCCTTAACCCTGTAATGGTAATTATTGCAGTTTTTGATAGCTCTAGTACCAGATAGCTACTAGAGGGACTTCCGGGTGGTTATGCATGACCACATCCAGCATCACCTAAAATCCCATACAATGCTTTCCTATGGGAGGGGGGGGGGGAAGTCTTAATGCGTGCGCAGCGCTAAATCTTGCAGTAAGCCCATGCCGGCTGGCATCGGACGGAGCCTGAACCAGCGTCGAGGGACATCGGCACTGGAATCAGGTAAGTGACAGGAGGGTTTTTTAACAACAACTTTGTTTTCCTGGCGCTATAGTTTACCTTTAATTCTCTGCCATTTAGGAGTTAAATCACCTTTGTTTCTGTTTATGAAGCCCCAACCACACCTCCCCTGGCTGTAACTAAGACAGCCTGGATGAAAATAAAATGGTTCCATTGGCAATCAGATATCACTTAATTTAAAAGTTTGTATCTCCTGCTTTGTAAATTGAACTTTAATTACATACAGAAGGCTCCTGCAGGGTCTAGCAAGCTATTAACAGGACATAAAAAGCTCTCATTTAAACAGAAGTTTGGCTATAAAGGAAGTGTAAACAATAGATGACTCTCTTTAAATATGATAGGGGATATGATAGAAACATTTAAATATATAAAGGGAATCAACACAATATATTTATTTGTATATATGAACTGTGTGTGCGCGCGCGCAGTGGCGTACATACCAGGGTCGCGGCTGCAACCGGGCCCAGCCGCCCCTGTGACCCGGTATTGTGGGGATATTTATGGGATAATAATAGTAAACAGTGAGAATTGCCCACTAATTCAATTCTCAGACCCAAAGATTGTTATCGTAAGTGAAAAGTATTTCATATAAATAATATCAATTTTGTTATAAAATAGATTTTTATTTTATAATAACAAATTAATTAATAATAATGTATGTAACATGCGTGACAATAATCAATGAATATCCAGTATAAAATGATATGCAATACAAAGGAATGGGTATGCACATTTCAATGGCTAAACAGCATTTTCTGTCAAGGCTTACACGATTTATGAGGTATCCTTACAGACACAGAAAGCTTGGCTAACAGTTAGAATAACCCTTTCAATGCTGGCTAGATCTCCTAGGTAGTTAAGATCTATTCTTATGTAATTTTAAATAAAATAACATTTAAACCAGGTCATTAGTCATTTCCTGGAACCATCCAATAAGAGAATCTACCATGTTATATAAGCAGAGTTTAATTTGTCTAAAAGATATCTATCTTATATTAGAGCAAATCAACACACCTGGATAAAAACAACGGTATGCTACCACGTGATAATATCACATCAATATATAATTATTCTTAATTCCACCTGCAGAATGGAATGTTTATAACGATATATTCTTTATTTAACTAAGATTTCTTAATATGGAAATCTGACCGTGCTTTATCCAGTCATATATCCTGCTATTAATACATTAATTTAATTAATTAAATGAAACCAGTATAATTACCAGTTGAGTAGATATTTCATCCGATTGGCAGATAGTCTCAGGAACTTATTTGGATGTCTGTAGGTGCATGAGTTATGGTGACAGGTGGTGTTGGTTAGAAAGTCAGTAAAATTCTAAGTGTTAGAGTTTTAAGAGTAGAGTGTTAGTCTCAGATGTTGTCCTGGGTTTCTCTGCATGTCCGAGTTGGAGTCCCCAAACTTCCAATTCCTCTCTCCTCTTTTTCCTCTTTGCATACCCTCCTGTCTTCCCTTTGTCCTTACTTTTAAAGGGCCAGACTCTCTGTACGTCATCAGTTGATAACCCAATAGAAGCACTAGAGGTGTGGTTATCTTCCAGATCGCAATTTAGTTATTTGGTCTATAGAGGGCAGTCTTGTCCCACTAAACATACCTATCCAGGAAAGAGTTAACTTTTCCTGGTGGCTATTTTGACGTCATTTTGGCCTATCTTTATAGTGGCCATAATTTTAAGTTTGCTGTCAGATCAAACAGTTTCTTTAGGTTTTGTCCAGACTATGTGTCCGCAATTCCTGCTATAATTTCTGATATGAGAGTTCGTGAACTATGTTTCACCTTAAACTTACAATGGGGTCTTGTACATATAGAAAGTTAAATTTTATTATTTAATCTCCTCTGTCACAAATGTCTGGGTTTAGAATTGATTATATTCCATTAGCATTTTAGACAGTCTATCCAACCCCCGTTCTCCTTATCACTTGGTTTGTATATACTATGCATTCCTTTAGCTCGGGGAAAGTGGTTAGTTTTACAGATAGAAATCTCGTGTCTTTTGTTAGCTTGGAAATAACAAAATGGAGTCTGGTCTGTTCAGAGTGACTCAGAATATACACTTTTAATTTATATCTTAGCACAAGATGTCTGCCGATATAAATACCCACAGAGCCAGCCTCTTCCCCTGGGGGGCCCAGGAGCCGACCACCCCAGGCCCCCCCGAGGCTGGCCCTGCTGACACCCGGAAGGCGGGTGGCCGGTCAGGCAGGCGGGCGCGCGAGGGAGCACTCAGTGCTTCCTCTTCAGCTCCCTCGCGCACCGCACTGATGCCGGAGCCGGAAGATGACGTCATCTTCCGGCGCCGGCATCCCTACGCGGCGCGCGAGGGAGCTGAAGAGGGAGCACACAGGGGAAAGTGCTCCCTTGCGCGCCGGCCGGCCAGGCAGCCCGCCCACCCAGTGACCAGGAGCCCAGCAGCACCACTGGACCCCAGGGAATCCCCCCAGCACTCCAAAAGGTAAGGAGGCTGGGGGGATTACATTTTAAAAAAAAGTTAGTGTGTGTGTGAGTGTTAGAGTGAGTGTTAGTGTGTGTGTTAGAGAGTGTGAGTCTGCTAGTGAGTGTTAAAGTGAGTGTTAGTGTGTGTGTCTGCTAGTGAGTGTCAGTGAGTGTGTTACGGTGTGTGTGTTAGTGAGTCTGATGTCTGTTAGTGAGTTTGTGTTTGTCAATGAGAGTGTATGTTTTGTAAGTGAGTGTGTATGTATGTCTGTCGCTGACTGTGTCTCTGTCAGTAAATGTGTGTCTGTTAGCTAGTGTGTATGCGTCTGTAAGTGTGTGTGTGTCTTCAGCACTTACCTTTCTCCAGCGCCGGACTCCCTTGGTGCTGGGATCCCTCAGCCTCTCAGCTCCGAATGCGACCGCGCACGCATTCAAACCGCCCATAGGAAAGCATTACTCAATGCTTTCCTATGGACGTTCAGTGTGCTCCTCTAGCGGCTGTCCGTGAGACAGCCACTAGAGGCTGGATTAACCCTCAGTGAAACATAGCAGTTTCTCTGAAACTGCTATGTTTTCAGCTGCAGGGTTAAAACTAGAGGGACCTGACACCCAGACAACTTCATTGAGCTGATGTGATCTGGGTGTCTGTAGTGGTCCTTTAAAGGACCACTATATAGTGCCAGGAAAACATACTCGTTTTCCTGGCACTATAGTGCCCTGAGGGTGCCCCCACCCTCAGGGTCCCCCTCCCGCCCGGCTCTGGAAAGGGGAAAGGGGTAAAACTTACCTTTTTCCAGCGCTGGGCGGAGAGCTCTCCTTCCCCGTCGGTTAGGCAAAAGCACGCGCGGCAAGAGCTGCGCCATTCAGCCGGTCACATAGGAAAGCATTCATAATGCTTTCCTATGGACGCTGGCGTGCTCTCACTGTGAAAATCACAGTGAGAAGCACGCAAGCGCCTCTAGCGGCTGTCAGTGAGACAGCCGCTAGAGGAAATAGGGGAAGGCTTAACCCATTTATAAACATAGCAGTTTCTCTCAAACTGCTCTGTTTATGAAAAAATGGGTTAACCCTAGCTGGACCTGGCACCCAGACCACTTCATTAAGTTGAAGTGGTCTGGGTGCCTAGAGTGGTCCTTTAAATGTGTGTGCATCTGCATGCACTGGCGTACATACCGCGGTCGCAGGGGTCGCAGCCCTGTAACCCCTGCGACCAGGTGCCCACCACCATGTGTTGCAGCCTGGCCCGCGCAGGGGGGCCACGGATCAATTTTCGCACCGGGGCCCCATGGGTCATGTGTACGCCACTGTGTGTGTGTGTATAATATATATATATATATATATTGGAAAATGTATTCATACTTACCGTAATTTTGTTTTCCTGGCTATTATTCATGGCAGCATATACACATGGGTTAGCTCCTCCCCTACAGCCGATAGGACAGGAAAACCACCAAGGTTTTAAAAGGAGGCTCCATCCCTAAGGTCCTCAGTCAGTTTACAAGCTCTACAGTACATAAATAGAGACATTAATGGGAGGGGAGTATATGCTGCCATGAATAATAGCCAGGAAAAGAAAATTACGGTAAGTATGAATTCATTTTCCACTTTCCTGGCTAATCATGGCAGCATATACACATGGGGAATACCCAAGCTTACAAAGGGAGGGATAGAATAGCCAATCAAATTATCAGAATAATTCAACATAGATAGAAGAATGAACTGAGTTAAGTACTTGAGTACCAAATTGTGCATCATAGACTGTTTTAACGAACAGTATGAAATGCCAGACAAACGTGTCTAAAGGAGTTTCAAATGCTAGCTTACAAAAAGTGTCAGCAGAAACCATTGCCATGGCAACCCATGATGCTGCAACAGCATGAGAGGAGAGTGCCCTGATACCCTCCAGCACAGGTAGAGAATGGACGTGACGTCCAAATTGTGCCTCATTAATTGCTTCAATGTCCAATATGTAATGCAGGACAAACTAGTTCAAAGAGGTCAAAATGCCAACTTTACAAAGTTTCAGCAGAGACCATTGCCATGGAAGTCCACGAGGTGCTGTAACAGCACTAGTGGAGAATGCCCCAAATCCTTTGCTACAGGTAGAGAACGGCATTGAAAGGCTCTCACTTTGGGCACGATCACTGGTGCTACATGCAAGACAACCATATCCTGTTGAAATTCAGTGAATGGGGGTACACAGGATCAATCCTGGAGTTCACCCATTTCCCTTGCTGGGGTACCAGCCACCAGCACTTTCTGTGTTACCACCATGGAAGCTCCTTCTAGAGGTTCGAATAATGGTTCAGTCAGGGCCCGTGAGACCAGTGGTACATCATATATTGGCTTCACCACACTCAGTGGAGGCATGATTTCAATCAATGCCTATATGAAGCAAAGTGCAGCAATTGCACACATTCACCCTGCTGAGGTACCAGTCACCAGCAACAGCAACGTCTGGGCTAACATCATGGAAGCTCTTGCTAGAAGTACAGTCAGAGTCTGTGAGACCAGTGGTACGTCACATATTGGTTTCAACACCTTCAGCGGAGGCTCGAGTTCAATTGTTGCTTACATGAAGCAAAGCACCAGGGGCATCAATGCTCAATCGGTACCCTTCAGTACAGGTAGAGAATGACATAGATAAGCATTCACCATAGGCAGGATCTTCAGGTGCCAAATGCAAGACGACCATATCTGTTGAAAAGTAGTGAAAGGGGGTTCACAGGATCAAGCCTGGAGTTCACCCATTTTTCTTGCTGGGGTACCAGCCACCAGCACTTTCTGTGCTACCACCATGGAAGCTCCTTCTAGAGGTTCAAATAATGGTTCAGTCAGGGCTCGTGTGACCATTGGTACGTCACATATTGGCTTCACCACACTCAGTGGAGGCATGATTTCAATCAATGCCTATATGAAGCAAAGTGCAGCTAAGTGCTCCTCTAGAGTGTTATAACACATAACCTTTCAAGGCCTGAACGAGGAGTAATTCCAACAGACAAAAGCATGTCAAGCTTAGTAAAGTCTGTATAGGATTGTAAGAGGATCTCAATGACCGTCTGAGGGATGCCTATACTAATATGGACTCCTGCATCAACACCAGAACTTGAGGATCCTGGTGTGTCATGGGGCCTTGTAATAGGTCTGGACGTACAGGAATTTCCCTTGGAGGTTCCAGAAACATCTTATTCATCATAGGAATTAGAGTCGACACGGTCTTCCATCGTCACCTTTTACATTGCCTTTTTAAGAAGGTCGAAAACAGGAAAATATGTACATCATACTAAAATTCTAAATTTGAGCCAGTGTATCCTGAACCTGAGCATTCTGGTCCTAGCATGTAAAAAATACTTCTGGACCTGGTAGTTCCAAGAAATGGCCATCAGACAATCTGCGTCAACCACGAGGATCCGTCAGGACATAGTTGCCAATCCACCTTGTCCACAGTTATTCGGCTCCAGCAAACAGCCATGGTATTGTTCTGGTTGTTCTTCTGTGCCCTGATCATTATGGTCTGGAATTCCATCAATACGTATCTGTGAGACCCATCTTGGTAGATATAGGATACAGTTGCATTGAAATTTGAGCAAATTTGGACCCACTCGTTCTTCAGCAAGCCTCTGAAGTGAAGAAGAGCCTAGAAAATGACTTAATTCCATACAAATGAATGGAAATATTGTGCAACATGGTCCAAACACTGTGCAACCAATCTTATAAAAACTGGAATTCGAACTAATAATTGACCAATGAGGTTCTGTTCACTGGAAACTCAGAGATCCAATCCCTCTTTCAGCTGCCAGGGTAAGGTGCAACTCCACTGATGGGGACATAGTAAGTGGCTGGCTCCAATAATCTTTCTCTTGTTAGACCAAGATAGGAAGGATCTGTAAGGAATCCAGAGATGCCATTGGGCCCCTCTGACAAGTCTGCTGGTGGAAGCCCGGATTCCTAGTAGTTGCATCTATTTTCTTGCTGTTACCAAGCAGAAATGAAGAAACTGGGAGAGAAAAACTTTACAATCTGTGGAACAGTTCCTGAGATAGGGAAAAGCAGAGCCTAGAATTTTCCACTCAGGAATGTCGATCACTGAGCTGGTCTGAAACTGCTTTTCTTGATATTCATCAAGCAGCCAAACTTTAGGAGTTATGAAAGAACTATATACCTATGTGTGCCTGCCTTCGGAGGGTCTAAGGCTATCACAAGTAGATCCTCCAGATAATGGAACCAGGTGGAGTTCTGGACTCTCAATAAGAGGCGTGGAGGCATGATAAGAGGCGTGGAGGCATGATTTCAATCAATGCCTATATGAAGCAAAGTGCAGCTAAGTGCTCCTCTAGAGTGTTATAACACAGAACCTTTCAAGGCCTGAACGAGGAGTAATAAGCACATAGAAAGATTCTTGGGGCCGCATTGAGGCCAAATGGTAGGGCACTAACATGGACGTTCTCTTCTGAGCTAATGCCGAAGATCTCTGCAGATTGGACTGAAAGTAAGCATCCTTGAGATATATAGAGGTAAGGAAATTATCCTTCCAGATTGCTTGAGATATGGATCTGATTGACTCCATCCTGAAGACTCTAACATTCAGCCTCTTGTTGGCCGCTCTTAGGTCCAGTGTAGGCTTTCATGTGCTTTTCCTCTTAGCACCAGAAGAGAGGTCGAAACTTGTCCCTGGAACTGCTCTTGTTCTGGGACCTAAAAAAAAAAAATCACCTCTTCGTCCAGAAGGCTTCTTCCTTCAGTGCTTTACCTTTTGATTCATTGGTCTTAATACTCCTGTTGGTATGGAGACTCCTGTGCCCGTTAAGAAAAAACTCCAGTCTATATCAATCTGGGCCAAGGATAACACTCAAGCCTCCAGAGTATGACAAGCCCAGGTATGTGTGATTAGAAAAAATAGGCTCCTAGTAATGGAGGAGATATGTTCATTGCTGAAGAGCAAAACAACTGCGTTATAGCTCCATTAGAACCTTGAAAGGCAGGTTTACCAACTGCCATGAGTTACCTCTGGAGTATTCCCTGCAGGGCCAGTAGCTTCATGTATCTCAGAAATACTGGTCACTGGAGGTTCTCCGGTCAGACTATGAGGAGCTGGGATCCTTGGAACTTCCATCCTAAGGTACCAATATTTTGCATCCCTCATTCGCCTTTTCAATGGAATTATCCAAAGTTTTCCCAAACAGCACCACCCCTTCAAATAGAATGGTGTAGAAGGCAGACTTGGAGGATGAGTCATCATCCCAGAAACAGAACCATAATAATTGTAACCGTGTGTGGTTCCCTTATTTACCACTATAATGTCTTAAAGCATAGAACTTAGTAGGGCTAACCATACAGATATCTTAGCCATAATTTTATATAGTGTAAGAGATCCTCTATTTAACATATATAAATAATTGAGAATACAATATAAAATAAGGATTGTCTTGGAAGCAAGATTGTCTTTTTGGATATTTATTATATAAAAATATAAAATCCATTATAGCAGAGTTTATAAGATTTAAATTACATGCTTGCAAATATCATTAATAGGTTAACATACCCTTCTGAACATGTCATCATGTCAGCCTCTCTGTCATTTTAAGATGGAGCAGCGTCTGTCTCCAAGTCTCTCCTCTGTGTCTTAACATTTAAAAGTACACCTATTTATACCTTAGGTGTCTCCATTTTAGGTTACTGTAGTTCAAATATGAAAAAGTAACACTTCTTTTACTTTATTCAATTTAGGACCTCCCTTAATTTGGCAAACATACAAGGCCATAACTAAAGGGTGTATACGTCATGGAAATTTTCCTGACTTAGTTCAAGATGGCATCTTAAAGTCTGAATAGCTTATCTGTTGTTTATACTAAGTCGTAAGTGCACAGTCGTGGGAGATTCCCGGATTTGGGGAAGTTCCATTAACTTGGGGTTAGCACAGTATATTGTGTACTGCAAGTGTCGTAGTATATCCTTGAAGCTTGTTTATGCATTATTGTTGTTGTAATTCGTCTAGGACAAAACGGCGCAAACATATTATGCACTGAGGTTATTGCTTAAAGAAACAGTTATGAAAAACAATGTTCCATGTCTAACACCTTGTCAGTTTGCAATATCTCTTAAAGACAAAGTACACAGTTTAAGAAATACAACATTTCATTCTAAAACTTGTAATATTTGCATTTGCCCGTAACACCCTCTCCATTAAACTGTGGGCATTGTAGCGCATTTCTTCCTTAAATTAGTAAACTAAAGTTCTCCAACTGTCTTTAGGTTTTTGTGCTCCCAGCATCTTTGATCATTGTTGTAACAGTAAAATATCCGTAGTGTGATCTTTGCCTGTAAAAGTGGTTGATTAAAATGAGCAAAGCTTTTGTCTGGGAAAGAATTGAAAAGAACACCAAGTTCCAGAGTAAGATATTCTTGGATAGATCCGGATACGAATTGTAATCCAAAGTTAAAAGTAGTAATTGTATTTGTAATCCAAAGTCTTTAAAGGCCTGTAGATACATTCCTTAGATACATTGCTGGAGGTTGTGTTTGTAGAATACCCGGGTATTTGTTGTAGAGTATAGGTTGTAGAGTCCAGCTTTCCAAGTATTTGGATAGAAGTGGTTGCAGATATTGAATCAGCATCATCTGTTATCACCGTGGTGATGGCGTTGGTATTTGTCTTTGCTTGTTTGCTTTCTGTTTTTTCCATGAAACATTTTTACACAGTTTATGATGTGTATAGATTGGATACTCTCCGATATTCTTTTACGGAATAAATTAATTGACAGCATTTCCAAGACATTGTCTTAAGTGACATGGATCCCATTATAGTAAGTGTTATGTTGATACAGCAATCGAAGTGGATTCTCAAGAACGCCTCTTTTTGCGGTATTTGAATCTTTGTAACATCTCAGTGATAGACATCTCACTGACATCAGGTGCTGTTGTGCTAAAAATGTTAACAGGTAAAATCTGTGGAAAAATCTGTACATTTGTTATAGTTTGTATAATAATGATAGATGAAATAGTAACATAGTTAATCTTTCTAGTGTTTTGTTTTAAAGATAAACACCCCTGTATATGATTTAGATATATAAGGATAATTTGAAGCAGCAAAGTATTTACCGCCTTTGTTCAGAATGGTATGTAAAATTACATTCTCTTTAAATGTTAAAAATACTACTTTATTCAAAATGTCTCAATATATTTAGAATAGTTGCTAATTGGAAATATGACGTTAATTATCTTTCTTTGTCCTGTTAGGGAATAAGTTGTCTTCTCCCTAAGATATAATTAGTAAATATAATAACTACAGTTATTAGTGGCTTAAAATACCAGAAACACCCCAAAATTGTCTTCAAAATTTTTTTTTCTTTTTAACCAAGATCTGACAGCCATCGTGGAAAGTTTCATTCGTGAGATTGGATGCTTAACAATGTGAATCTTAATTGTTTAAGTATATTTTTCAGTGGCTGTTGGATGTAGTTTAAGATGATTAGAATGTATTATTATTTCTAAAAGTGAGTTAAGAAAGCACTCCGATATAATATTGAATGTATTTATATTTTAACTCTACCTTTGTATAGGTGGTTTATGTACCTTTAACCATTACAAACCAAATTACATTTTCTTTGTATTTGAAAAACTGATAAAATATTTGATTACGTGTATTTTATATATATATACATAGAGTGGTATGGATGTTGAATTTATATCTTTGACATCTTTTCACCAGTTTGCAATAGGTGACCTAAATGATCAATTTCCAAATTCATCATGTATATCACCTGGATGAGTTAATCCCTAATACTCTTTTACTTTCCATTGACTGGCCTTGGCTCTGGCAGACTGAATATTTTTATCATTATAAATAAACTTTATGATAGTTGAAGTAAAGTTTCTGCCTGTCTTAACTGTTTTTAACTGTTGAAGTATTTCACTTATATTAATTATACCACTCTGCAAACTTAAACGAATATCGAATAGTTTCTGATTTAATTGAGTGACTACCGCAAACAGCCTTCTTATGCTGAAAAGAAGTGCTATGCTAATTCTGGACATTGCTATTATGTTTCCAGACAGAAGATGACCGGAAATATAAATAAAGGTTGATAACTGTCAACACCCAGCTATTTCTTAAGATGGAACATGGCACTGTAAACATAAACACAGAGACATTGATACAACAAGGAATCTGTAATGATTCTGTTGCAGATGTGATCTACCGTCGTACTCCTTGCTCTTTTGGTATAACTATACCAATCAAAATGTTAAACGACTCTATAGAATCAAACGACAAAGGATTCTTGCTATATTCTGGACTTCCAGGAATGTGGTGCATGGACCGAAAATTATAATTACTAAAGCAATCATTTCACTGTGAGCTGTGTCTCTCCTTTTGAGATAGTTCTTGGAGGTAGTCCTCACGATCACAGAACTTGTATAGTGTGCAGTCCAATTCAGTTCAGGTGCTTCCTGCTTGTTAACATAATCCCAATGCAGTTAGGGTTGATGTTATGATAATGCTGCAGACTGTAAGAAGGCGACACCATAACCAATTTTCTAGCATCCTTTTGCTTCCATCTTTGCATTTCTTTCTTACTGTATAAGATAATTCAGGTTCAGTCTGTTTTCTCCAGAGTCTTTCTTATAATGATGTTGATGATTCATTTTTCATACATTCCATGTTAACTGTGAATGTATCACGTCTGTCTGTTCATCCTTCTCCTTCACATTTGCAGGTTCAGATGTCAGATCATGATTCAGTCTGTCTATGATTCTGGTGGCTTTTCTGTCGTCCTCTGTTTGTTTTATCTTGCCATCTTTAACAGCATCCATTGTGTCAGTCAGTGGTTCTGTGAATGTCCTGTTAGTATTTAGCATGTTGTAAAATATCAAAACTTACTGTTCTCTGTTGGGTCTGATTGTTCTCTGTAGTAAAAGTTCTTGGTATCACCCTCTCCAGGACAAACTGGCCAACAGAAGGAAATAGGTGGTGGTGCAAGGCGAGGTGGACTGGAAAAAAAAATTCCCTAAATTTCTCTAATAGAACCAATGGTTCTAAGCTCTCCCTGGTGCAGAAATATATTTGTCAGTGAAAAACATGTAACATTTCATATGGTGTCTCACCATTTGTATCATCAGGTATGTTGTGAATGCTTATCTGTACCATGGGAATAAATAGATACCACTGTGTGGGGCAAGCAACTAGTAACTTGGTTAATAATCATTTAACCTCAGCATTTTCCCAGACCACAACCCCACTTCTTTGGGGGTGGTTGGGGCACTGAAATCCCAAAGTAACCCAAATGTGGTTGCCCAGTTTTAGGTTTCCTTTGCAGTAACTGCAGGACCACCATCCAAATGGATGGTCCTGGGATTATCAAATGCATACTAAGGAAGTGAGACTAGAAAACGTGGCATCAGAGGTTGCACTTCGCACAGGATATATCCAAGTAAACCTGGTACATGCATCAACACATACAAAAACATATTTATAACCATGAGATGTTGGCAAACTTCCAATATATAGTAATTCAAAAAGTATGTTAGATATTAATATTTCAGTTAACAGTACATCAGTAATGTGGCAATAAGCAAATGCTTATGATTACTAAACACATGAATTACAGTATTTCCCATATTGTTACCACCAATATTCCTTTTCAGGAGTCAGAAGTACATTACCTCTCTCTATATAAGAGCTTGTCCTAGCCATGAAAAAGCTTTTAGGGCAAGTCCATCTTTCCTCTATAGGAAAAACAACCAACATATTACCTTCAATGGTTATTATGTAATTAACCCCTCTAAACGATAGGAGTATTTATGCGGATACCAGGTGGATAAGGTCTGGATATCCTTGCAAGCATAAACTCTGCATCATGACAGAGAGATAGGGTATGCGATGTGATCCAGTGACCACAGAAAAGCGTTGGTAGACACATTGCATCAAAGTGCCTGTTACAGACCAACTACATGAGGAGAGGGACCATGCTTTGTTATAAGCATGTCCATACACATATTACAATGCCAGGCTTTCAATTTGTTTCCACAAAGCAATATGCAGTTGTTGATATAAACTCACGACGTATCGTAAGAAAAACAGTTTGAACACCAGACTGAGACTCGAGATCAGTGAACAGTGGACCAAAATAGATAAATGAAATCCTATCAATTAATATACTTTCAATATATTTTCTTTAAATTACTTTATTCTCCGTATTAACTATGAAATATTAAAGTTAAAACAATAACATTTAAAAGCCAACTTTTAGTGTGCATAGGAATTACAAGGCCGTTCATAATGTGAGATAAAGAACAGCTTTTTTAAAACCGAATAGTCTGTGAACACAAGATGACCTTGCGCTGAAAACTCACTTGCAGGGGATAAAATAAAACCTCTTCTTTTTTCCTTTTTCTTTAGTAAGTTAATTAATTAATTAAACGTAGTTAGAACCTCCCTCAAAGTCCCGATGACTTTGCAAGAAACATGTCGTCCCCAAATACTGGGTAAGTCTATTAAACAGTGACATAGCATTGTTCCATGTGTATTATGTTGTCACCGGTATAATGTGCAGTATTACAAACTATTTATAAGTGTTGTGCAAACTGTTCATTATAAGCCAGCGGTTTAGTGAGCTATAGAACATTTTTTTTTTCATTTATTCTTTAAAGCTCTGACATCAGTCGGCAAAGCAATAATGTAATGGTGTCCATTGCAATCTGCTGTCTTACTTGCTGCTCTCTAAAATTCTGAATATGTTCGGAGATTTCTTGGGCAATAATAAATCCCCCAAAACAACAACTTCGCATTTATACTAAACCTGCCTGTTGTAAACGTATTCTGTATATTTCTTGTCATAAGTACTTGTACTTAAATCTGTTTAACAAAGCTGTTTATATTGTGGTGTAAAATAAATTTTTTATTATTATTATTTATTTTATTTATTTATTTTTTTAACTTTGCTTAATTTTTAAAGATACCTGCATATTTAATTAAATATCCTTTATATGTCTTTAAGGCATAAAATATCTGCAAATTAAGATTATATACAAAAATGCATGTTCTGGGTGTTCCCGTGATTCCTTTTCTATCATTTATTTATTTAAAAAAAATTTAAGTCTGGAATCTGATTTCTTTTGGGATGAGCACCCCTCTGAGCCCCCCAATTTCAGAGGCTTCTTTGGAGGTGACCACAAAAAAGTATAGATTCTATAAAATAGATGTGAGGGGGCTTTGGACAGTAATGTCACTTTAATTATACTTTTCATATAGCAGATATGTGATTTGCAATGTGATTTAATATATCAGAGTATTATCACTTTAATTGACACTGCATTTTTTTTATGCATTATTCTTTATGCATTATTATTTTTCTTTTTTTCTTAAATTTTAATGTCTGTTTAGAATATTGCAGGCTTTGCAATATCAAATTAATTTTGCAGTATATATATTCACAATGCTCTTACAACATGTTATTAAAATTAGCCTCTTTCAGAATTGTAGAATATGTGGTGGAACTGAATCCTCATATATGAGATTTGAAACTGTATATTTTTATTTCTACGCTGTGCCCTAATTTGTATTTGTATACATAATTGCGGCAGCATATAGCTTTTAAATAAGCAATTATTTCACCCTTCATGTGTGGTTGACTGTGGACTTTTTAAAACCTATTTTTTTTTTATAAATCCAGTTCTGGCTCTGAGAGAGCAGGCTGCTGATTGCATGTAAATGCTGTTATTGCCTAGTCTATATACTTTTATTTATAAACAACATTGATATGTTTATATATAAACAACTTTGATATTTAATCTTATTTTATGAAAACCTAGTTTATGAAATTCACTGAGATTACATGTGTCTGATCTGATTACATTCAGTAGTACAATATAATTGTTCTAATTTCCTTACTGCTAGTACGGTGGGATAGTACCACTGATTTAAGTAAGCTTTCCCTTTTAAAATTGGTGGACTTTACTGCCATTGCAATAGGCTAAAGACTGTACCTGAGTAAGCAAAGTCATTATGTGCAGGAATTGTGCACTTTAAATAGTAGAATACTTATGCTATTCTAGTGAATTGGGCTGGCTGCTTAACACATCATTTAATATCTTTTGGTCACATTTAAAGCTGTAAATGTATTTAACATTTTATTTAAATAAGCCTTTAATAATTGCAGTTTAAAAGTTATCAGAGATCCTGTATAGTTACCATTTTATTTAGCCCTGATTTATCTTACATATATATTATTTTTAATCATTTTCTAAATATTTATTTTTTGCTGAGCATTTAGAGAAGCAAAGGATGTATAACCACCTGTTGCCCTTTTTTCTAGGAGGGTAGTATAATTTCAACTCTGTTTAGGAAAAAATATGAGCTAGTTAGCATATGTTATATAAAATATATGCTGCAGTGTACTGCATTGAATGTATTTAAAAGCCATGTATTTTTCTTTATGGCTGTATGTAATAATGTTGTTCATAATTTGGAATATAAAACAACGACTTTTCAATTCCTTGGAATGTTTACATGTCTCTATCTCCGCAACCTTGGCTGGAAATTCCAGACTCCAAAAATAGTTATGCTGTTATAATTCCTGATTTTCAATCAACAGCTAGCCTAACTGACAATATGGAAAATATCACTGTTTTCTAAAACCTTTCTTATATAGTGGACATTAGAATCCAGAACGCAGTAATGCAATAATTAAAAATCCTGTCTGTCTGTTGCATGAATGTTTTCATTAAGCCATAATGCAATTTTCTTTGCATTCTTGGAATTAGACTTCAAATTTCATCGCTTTGTCTTATCACTTTTCTTTTGACAACATTTTGCATTAATCTTTTTCCTGCGCATGCATACTAAGCAGCTACAAAGAGAACTTATCCCCCTGTCTGCAATCCTGCTGGTGTATTAGGCATATCAGGGAGTTTACCAAATATGTATATTTGTTCTATTATGATATTAGTTAAGATCCACAATTTCAGCATTTTATGCTAATTACATTGTACCTGGCACCTGAACTTGAAGTGCTTTGTTCACATTAAAATCATCTCTAATGATGAAGATCTCTCTTTGAGTCTGGGCTACAAATAGCTCAATAGATTCTTGATATTTCAAGACTTGTGCCATGACAAAGTATTGTGTCTTCTCTTACGTATAAGAGGTTACCTAGGTATTTATTTTATATTTAAAGCTTCCAAGTACAAAGTCCCTTCGTGGTCGCCAATTGTAACCGTGTGTGGTTCCCTTATTTACCACTATAATGTCTTAAAGCATAGAACTTAGTAGGGCTAACCATACAGATATCTTAGCCATAATTTTATATAGTGTAAGAGATCCTCTATTTAACATATATAAATAATTGAGAATACAATATAAAATAAGGATTGTCTTGGAAGCAAGATTGTCTTTTTGGATATTTATTATATAAAAATATAAAATCCATTATAGCAGAGTTTATAAGATTTAAATTACATGCTTGCAAATATCATTAATAGGTTAACATACCCTTCTGAACATGTCATCATGTCAGCCTCTCTGTCATTTTAAGATGGAGCAGCATCTGTCTCCAAGTCTCTCCTCCGTGTCTTAACATTTAAAAGTACACCTATTTATACCTTAGGTGTCTCCATTTTAGGTTACAGTAGTTCAAATATGAAAAAGTAACACTTCTTTTACTTTATTCAATTTAGGACCTCCCTTAACTTGGCAAACATACAAGGCCATAACTAAAGGGTGTATACGTCATGGAAATTTTCCTGACTTAGTTCAAGATGGCATCTTAAAGTCTGAATAGCTTATCTGTTGTTTATACTAAGTCGTAAGTGCACAGTCGTGGGAGATTCCCGGATTTGGGGAAGTTCCATTAACTTGGGGTTAGCACAGTATATTGTGTACTGCAAGAGTCGTAGTATATCCTTGAAGCTTGTTTATGCATTATTGTTGTTGTAATTCGTCTAGGACAAAACGGCGCAAACATATTATGCACTGAGGTTATTGCTTAAAGAAACAGTTATGAAAAACAATGTTCCATGTCTAACACCTTGTCATTTTGCAATATTTCTTAAAGACAAAGTACACAGTTTAAGAAATACAACATTTCATTCTAAAACTTGTAATATTTGCATTTGCCCGTAACATGCTTACTTAGCTGCTATAGATAAAGCCATTTGATCCACAGAATATCCTAGTTACATCTAGGGAAGTTTCTGTGAAGAAGTCAGTTGTAACCTGAAGACTTCAGACTGCCTCTTCAATCTTGGCTTTTAATATCTCTCTCCATAGTAGCCTTTAGATCTTTAATCACATATTTCATGTTTGTAGAAACAGCAGCAGAAATCACAGCTGGCTGGCCTCCTGCAATGGTAGGCATAAAATTTTGGACAGGTCTGCGTCCACCTATGATCCATAAGTTTGTAACTTAGGTGGTGTAGTTCTGGGGTTGGAAATAACTTCCTCCACAGGGTAAAGCCTGGCCTCTTTTCTTACCCCTAAGGCCTCTGGAACTTACTTTGTAAGCCCTGCCCGCATGTCATGTGGCTGCACAGTGATAGGTCACGCTGAAGCGACAACCTTCTGGAGGCAGTCAGTGCATAACCGATTCCTTCCACTGTTTTCTCCTCATAACCAGATCCTAGTGAAGAATCAGACACCTGACAAATAATAATAACTAAATATTACCTGTGGTAAAGTATTAAGAAAAAATGTGCACTGTTAAATTCTATAAGAAACCAGCGAAACAGCTTTAAAACAGGCTGAAGACAGCACTTATCCATGTCTGGAGACCCTGCAAATACTTACCCAATAAGAGTATGTTTATTGTAATTTTCCCTTTATTTTAGGCACTTTCTGGCAATTGCCCTTATCCAAGATGGCTGCCACAACTTGTATTCCCACAATGCAAGTCATCTGTATTAGGCCCAATAAGGCACAAACTGCACACATGTGGGCCAATTCTGAGTGTGTTTGCTGTTAGAGACCAGGGAGAGGACTCTGGCTGAAGCCTACGTGGCCCCTAAACCGGGAATAAATCACTGGGACCGAGGGGAAGCAACATAGATAACAAAAGTGCCTGCAAGGAAGTTTAAAAGGAAACCAGGAGCAAAAAAAATAAATATTAAAGGCACCACAGTCTAAAGGCCGCAAGGAATAAAAGGTAACAGTTTCCAAAATGTATCACAGTTTCCAAAATTTATCACAGTTTTCAAACAAACTGCAGTCTTCAAAAGCACTGCAGTCTTCAATGACTTGCGGTATTACATGCAACTTTAAATGAAAACAGTTTTAAATGCAACACAGCTTAAATGCTTCCTAGTAAAAGCACAACCGCATTATGTACCACAATCTTAAAAATAAGGTACAGCTGTATAATGCACTAGTTTAACCTCTTAAGGACACCTGACATGTGTGACATGTCATGGTTCCCTTTTATTCCACAAGTTTGGTCCTTAAGGGGTTAAAGATATCAAAGCTTAAATGCATCATAGCATAAAAGCACAACTGCATAATGTACTACAGTAAAACAGCAAATAAAGTAATGAAGATAAAACAACATACATGTCCGTAAGTAAAGGGAGCAAATTGCTCACGTCCTAAGGGCTGTAGGACAGGAAAAAGACTGAGGACCTTAGGGATGGAGCCTCCTTTTAAAACCTTGGTGGTTTTCCAGTCCTATCGGCTGTAGGGGAGGAGCTAACCCATGTGTATATGCTGCCATGATTAGCCAGGAAATATATATATATATACACACACATATAAATATACATACACTAAGTGTATTTTAGTATTAATATCAAAATACACGTAGAATGATATTGATTAAATATATATAAAAATATAAAAAATATGTAAATACGTTAAAGAATAAAACAGAAAAATAAATAAAATGTGTAAATTTGTTCTATTTTAAAATAAATATATATATATTGATATCAAAATACATGTAGAATGAAATTATAGAGGTATATATCACTATGTATATACCTATACACTATATAAATAAAAATAATTTCTAAAAAATTCTATATATATAATATATATATTATTCTACGTATATATTTATGTAATAATTTTACATAATTAGGTCATTTTTATTATTTACAATTTGTGGGACCTGCCTGATAACCCAGGCCGAAAGTCCAGGGAATTTAATTTGCTAGCACTATATTTAACTCTGTAACTTTCCAAAACACCATAAAACCTGTACATGGGGGGTACTGTTTTACACGGAAGACTTCGCTGAACACAAATATTAGTGTTTCAAAACCGTAAAATGTATTACAACGATGATATTGTCAGTGAAAGTGAAATTTTTTGCATTTTTCACACACAAATGGCACTTACATGGACGGTTTAATTGTTGTGACACGTTTTACTGTTTTGAAACACTAATTTGTGTTCAGCGAAGTTTCCCGAGTATGACAGTACCCCTCATGTACAGGTTTTATGGTGTTTTCAAAAGTTAGAGTCAAATATAAGGCTTGCGTTTCAGTTTTTCACATTGAAATTTGCCAGATTGGTTACGTTGTCTTTGAGACCGTATGGTAGCCCAGGAACGAAAATTAACCCCATGATGGCATACCATTTGCCATAGTAGACAACCCAAGGTATTGCAAATGGGGTATGTCCAGTCTTTTTTAGTAGCCACTTAGTCACAAACACTGGCCAAAATTGGCGTTCAAATTAGTTTTTTGCATTTTTCACACACAAACAAATATTAAAACTAACTTTGGCCAGTGTTTGAAAGAGTTTAACACCTTAAACAACTGGTGTTAGAGAAGTGGGAGGAGGGAGGAGGGAGAGAGTGGGGTGTCATTAACAGCAGTGCCTGAAAGTGAAAGGTGCAGGCTGGCTGCTTATTTATATATTTTTTATGGCTATTCTCAGCCAGCCTGCACCTTTCACTTTAAGGCACATCTTCTGTTATTTATGACACCCCACTCATCCCCCTTCCTCCCCTTCTCTAACATCAGTTGTTTTAAAGGGACTCTCCAGTGCCAATAAAATAAACCGTTTTCCTGGCACTGCAAGTCCCCTCTTCCTCCCACCCCCCATCCCAAGTTGCTGAAGGGGTTAAAACCCCTTCAGTGACTTACCTGTATCCAGCGCCGATGTCCCTCGGCGCTGGTTCAGGATCCGCCCACGCTCCTCCCCCGCCGGCGGGGGAGACCTAATGCGCACGCGCATTAGACCTCTCCATAGGAAAGCATTGAAAAATGCTTTCAATGCTTTCCAATGGGGATTTCAGCGACGCTATAGCACACAGCTTTTCGTGTGCTATAAACAAGGAAGTGCCCTCTAGTAGACAACCACTAGAGGAGGAGTTATCCCTACTAGGTAAATATTGCAGTTCATGAAAACTGCAATAATTACACTTGCAGGGTTAAAGGGACACTCCAGTACCAGGAAAGCAATCCATTTTCCTGGCACTGCAGGTCCCCTCTCCCTCCCATCCCAGGTTGCTGAAGGGGTCAAAACACCTTCAGTGACTTACCTGAGGCAGTGACGATGCCCCTTTCCGCTGCTTCTTGGTCTGCCCACGCTCCTCCCCGTCCCCATGTCATCCGGCGGGGGAGACAGATCCCGCCCGCCGGTGGGGGGACCTAATGCGCATGCGCGGCAATGCCCGCACACACATTAGACCTCTCCATAGGAAAGCATTGAAAATGCTTTTCTATGGGGATTTTAGCGTGAGGACGTCCAGCGACGCTATAGCACAGAAAACGTGCTATGAATCAGGAAGTGCCCTCTAGTGGCTGTCTAGCAGACAGCCACTAGAGGTGGAGTTAACCCTGCAATGTAATTATTGCAGTTTATAAAAAACTGCAATAATTACAGTTGCAGGGTTAAGGGTAGTGGGAGTTGGCACCCAGACCACTCCAATGGGCAGAAGTGGTCTGGGTGCCTTGAGTGTCCCTTTAAGTGTTAAACTCTATTAGATTGATCTGTATAGCTTCAGACCTGAGGCAGAGAGGAAACTCTCAAAAGCTTTTCTTAGAAATATTATGCTAGTCTCTCTCTCTCTCTCTCAAAATTTACCAACTTTGTGTCTACCTTCCCACAGCCATTTTGTGTGTATGTTGCCCTCTGTGTGCCTCTCCATGTGTGTCATTACCCCCCACCCCGTGCCAGCTCACCTCTTCTATATGTAGCTGGGACTGTGGTAAAGGAGTTTGGTGCTTTATGTGGTCATCTCCTGTCAAACTGGGTACAGGAAAACCAGCCCCCCTACTGCGGTATTCTCTCTGCCATGCAGAGACCAGCCGGAGGGGAGCAATGTGCTGTGCGATCTCCTCCCGCCGGTCACTCAGGAATTGCGCACCCGGGCTGGTGAACCCTAGGCAGCCGTGTGTATGTGTATGTGTATGTGTGTGTGTGTGTGTGTGTGTATATATATATATATATATATATATGTATGTGTATAAATATAATATATATGAAAATCCAGTGCACTCCCTTATCTACTAAACAGCCACTTTGGTGCTGACAGATTTTGTTAGTTTTATTAACACCTCCTCTAGGCAAAAAGTAATGGGGATTTAGTTACATTATATGATCATACATCTCATCATATTTTGAACCATAGCTATATTATTTGCATAGCTTTAGGGACAATATGATTCATTCAAGAATGCCACATACTCGGACAAAAGAGGAGTCATGCAGGACAAAAAAAAAATTATAGATTTTATTTTATTATATATATATATATATATATATATATATATATATATTTATTACATTATGTAGTTGTGTGAAGCGGATATCAGCCTACTAAATATAACTAGAACATTCAGTTTTAATTGCCGACCTGCCATCTAGCTCTTTGCCTCCTTTAATTAAAAAAAAAAAAAAAAAATACCATGTATGTAGTAATGTGGTAGACATATATTTTTCCAGCACACACAAACTATTTAAAATGCTTTCCCAACTTCTAGTTGAAGTGCACAGAATAATTGTTCACTGGTTACTTAAAGGGTTCCTACAATCCAGTGGTTTCCAAAACAGTCCTCAATGCACTCTTACCAGGATTTAGTAAATACCCAGATGTGATTACAGTGGGTTCTTTTTTTTTTTCCAGTTTTTCTAGAAACACTTTAGACACAACTGGGTAATCCCTAAATCCTGGACTGGTAGGGGTGCCATAAGGACCGCTGTGGGAACCACTGGAGTCCAATTACTATGACCACTTCTGCTTTTAGATATAGCCATCGTGGTAGGAATTTGTATATGCAGAATTTTTGCTTGAAACTCTGCACATACAGAGATATATTTACTTTTGCCCTGGACCAGTCACCACCTCCCACAACGTCGTGTTGATTGTGGAGCCTAATGTGCATGCACAGTGAGCACTGTGCATACATTAAACCTTCAACACAGGAAAGCATTGAATCAATATGGGAATTTGAAGACATCCACATACAAAGCGTGAGGACGTCCGTCGTTTTACAGAGTTCAACTAGAGATTGTCTTAATCCTGCAGTGTACACACTGCAGGGTTAAGGGACAGGGGCACATCACCCAGACCACTTCATTGAGATGAAGTGGTTTCAGTGCCTTTAGTGTCCCTTTAAATAACTGTTTATGCAAACCTCTACCAAGTTCCTCCAACTTTCTCCTGCTCTGCTAATATCCTGCAGGAGCCTCTGTGTGCAATTAAGGTTCAATAACCAGAGCGCCAGATAAAAACTTCTGAAGCAAACAGATGCTGTTACATCTGATTGAAAATAAAGCCAGTTTTTCATGCAGGCTATGCTAGTCACAAGCAGGAGTATAACTAGGACTGCATACACAGTAACAAAAGTAATTTATATCCTAAATGGTAAAGAATTGAGCACTGCAAATACAGGGGCATAATCTATACACCAAACTTGCTCAATTAAGCTAAATCTGTTTTGGAGCTTAGACTGCCCCTTTAAGTGATTATCCAATGACTCTGATTAATCTACTATTGGTGAGGAAATGTTAAGGCACTTGTACACTAACATGCAAACCTAGGGTAAACTGCAAATAAAGAGGATAGCAAAATACTACCATTCTTTAAAGGGACTCTCCAGTGCCAGGAAAACAATCCGTTTTCCTGGCACTGCAGGTCCCCTCTCCCTCCCACCTCCCACACCCGGTTGCTGAAGGGGTGAAGACCCCTTCAGTGATTTACCAGAGGTGGTGACATGTCCCACGTCGCTGCTTCTTCCTCCGCTCACGCTCCTCCCCTTCATCACATCAGCCGGCGGGGAAGACCTAATGCACATGTGCGGCAATGCCGCGCAGGCGCATTAGACCTCTCCATAGGAAAGCATTGAAAATAATTTTCAATGCTTTCCTATGGGGATTTTAGCAACGCTGGAGGTCCTCACACAGCATGAGGACCTCCAGCGACGCTGTGCTATGAAGCAGGAAGTGCCCTCTAGTGGCTGTCTAGTAGACAGCCACTAGAGGAGGAGTTAACCCTGCAAGGTAATTATTGCAGTTTATGAAAACTGCAATAATTACATTTGCAGGGTTAAGGGTAGTGGGAGTTGGCACCCATACCACTCCAATGGGCAGAAGTGGTCTGGGTGCCTGGAGTGTCCCTTTAAGGTGGCCGGTTTTCGCATAATTGTAAAGTAGGTAGGATAGTCTGCATGCAGACAAAAGTAAACAAGTACAAGCAGAGTCAGCGAAAAGCACAGATTTGAGTAAAAAGAAAAAAAAAAATTTGTATTATTGAATTACACAGCAGAGTCGAAACCAAAAAAAAAACAATAAGCAATAGGCTGCAGCTCAATAAAATGCGCAACTCACTGACTATAAGAAGCATTTAGAGTGGAGCCAGCTCTATTGGAAAGGATGCTGAAATGATTCAAGGCATCAGGAAGTGTTCCACAACAGGACCCATATGCACTTAACTGTTTAATTTTGGAATTTCCCTGCTAGGACATATTGCTAAATTATGGGTTAACCAGTAAGTGTGACTGAACATCTGAAAATCAAAACACATCATGACTAATTACTGGATGATCTGACTGGAAAACATATAAACAGAGTTAACTTTTTTTGTACCAATTTAAACCTGATATAAACATACATTTTAATATATTCTAATCTGCTTTGGTTTTCTGATAGAAACAATTAGATTAACACTGAAAATATTTTGCTTTCCAGTTACCTTACTTGGTATTTTATATATGTCGTTCAGCACAATCCAACTCTATATAGACTTTATTTGTATGGAAAACCTATATAACATTACTATTATTATGTTACTATTTATATAGCGCTAAAATTCCACAGCGCTTTACAAATAGGTGGACGAACAGACGTAGTTGTAACCAGACAAGACACACAGGAACAGAGGGGTTGAGGGCCTTGCTCAATGAGCTTACATGCTAGAGGGAGTGGGGTAAAATGACACAAAAGGTAAGGATAGTAGTATTATACTAATGACAGTTGCAAGAGAGGAATCAGTCGGGAGCTATTAACAGTTTAATTGATACGCTTTTATGAAGAAGTGGGTTTTTAACGATTTTTTGAGGGAGTGGAGACTGGGTGAGCATCTAACGGAGGAGGGAAGTGAGTTCCACAGGAACGGTGCAGCCCTCCAGAAGTCTTGAAGGCGAGCATCAGAGGTGGGAGTAGGGACTATATCTAGGGGCATTTCATAACAAATATGTACCCATTAGAAAGCATATGGTAAACCATACCATTTTCTATATGCCAAAATCTATTAGTATAATGGGATGTAGTCATCTTGCCAGGACCATTATTGCCCTCTGCCTCAGTAAGGCTCAACCACAGTACACTCATGGTAGTAGAGATTACAGAGCACGGGGAGGAGGGTACAGGAAAAAAAGGGGAAGGGGGGCCTAAAAGACATTGTATAAATTTGGCAAATACACTAAGTATGCCTCTGTCTGTTCTCCTCAATTACATTATGTACACTGGCTGTGACTGAACCAATCAAGACTGTGATGTCATTTGCTTTTTAATATATATTTAAATAAAACACAGCACATAAAAAAAGTTAACACAAGTTACATGTGTTTTTTAATGTTTTATTAAATTGTGTAATTTCTAGAGAAGCATCAATTCCCCTTTAAGTGATTCAACTCACTTTGCACATAGAGTCCCCATTTCTTTTTAAGCGATTTATACACATTCCCCTTCACACATGACCTTTATATTCTGTGTGCTGTAAAATAAATTGAAATAATTGAAACTTAGTTGACTCATTATGACATCAGCAGTTTCCTACAATGACCTTTTTTTTATGATTTTTTTTTTTTTTTTTTACCAAACACACGCTACATTTTTGTCAAGGTGGGTGCTAAACTTTCCTATGTCCCTTCCTGTATTGCTCATGGTACAATAGCCTTTGTTCATTACATTATGCTGTTTTCATCGACTGTGTTAAAGGGACAGTCAGCAATTTAGTTACCTACATTTGAATAATTTCTCAAATTGACAAAATACTGTTTTAAACTAAAGTTTTCAAGCTTGTACCTGTTGCCCTTTGGAAACTAGCACTTGCAATGGCACGACTTACCCGTGTGATTGGTGCCAATTCATGCTCCCAGTGAGTACCACTTGCAAGTTCTTCTATGTGAATACTGAAATGCCAACTTATTTGTATGTGTTAGGTGAGTCAAGAAGTGCCAGTCCCTCTGAGGCACCTTTTTTCTCAAGAAAACAAGTTAAGTTTTTCTAGAATTCCCTCACATGGAATGTTTTCCCTTCCCCTTACTAATTTTGTAGCTCGCACTTTTTCTAGTTCAGTAATATCCTTCTTTAAAACTGGTGCCCATAACTGCACAAGATATTTTGTCCGAGCGGACTCGGCACAGACTGAGCTACAATATCAGGTGAAAGTGCCACAAAAGTATAAATACTCTTTGTTTTCACTATATATTGGAGAGGTGACAAAATATCAATGGGGAGTTGATGGGAGGAATATGAGACCGGAAGGTATGATAAGGTCTCTTGCTACTCTCAGACTTGCCTCAATATTTAGCTGCTCAGTATTTTATAAAAACATTTAATGGTCTCCTTGGAACATAATTTCTGAAGAAAATAAATTAAAAGTTTCTGTTACAGTAGTTATATATTTTACCTTTAAAATGTAACAAAAGAACTACACTACAGCAGTACAAATAAACAAGACTATAAAACAAAATTTACATGTGCTGATTTTTCTTTCTTTGTGCTTGAATTACATGTTGATCATCAGATGGTAATATCTAACATTTAAGCTGTTGCAGACACGCAATATAACCATGCAACCAAAATTGCCATCTTCTTCACTGGACTCCATCTTTGCATCCGATCAACATTGAAGAGAGATTACATTCAGTGATACAGTTTATGGCAGTGTTAGATACAATATTATTCCAGGTCTCTTCATTGTCAGTTTCATAAAAGTTTTTTCATGGACAACAGTAATCCGTGAAAGTGGTAAAGTTCAGCTACCATTATTGACTAATACTGTCACGCTACTATCAGCCTTCCATTTCCACATCTTTTTCCAAACTGTTGGCACAGAGAAAATCTTTCTTTAGCAGCAGGTTCAGTGATTAATAACTAATTTTAGACAGTGTCATGCAAGTGTTGCTCAGGCAATAGTGCATTTCCTTGTTCCTCCTCTGGATAGTGGCAGCTACATGCATCTTCTTCCTTTGGAGTGTTTATCTGAACAGGCACTAAAAGTTGAGCAAAATGTACTGTTAGGATGTCATAATACAAGCTAACGGAGAAAAAATTTTTGGCACAACCATATCTTATGAAAATAAATAAAATGTAAAAAACAAAATAAAAAAAGGGACAGCTGAATTTTAGTCGTATAAATGTTCGGCAGAATTTGGGTAATGAAAAACGGATTCAGAATATGAATCAGACAAATAAAACCAGTGCAAAAATATGAAGTATATATTTTGCAGTACACTTACAGGAGCATTCTTCCCCACCCCCTATTTGGCTACACACAAAAAATAAATGAAAAAAAAATAAAAATAAATAAATATATATATAAATAAATAAAATCTCCAAGTCTAATGTTAAGAGAATACAAATTGTGCTTGCACTATATTATTGCTTTTAAATGCACAACAATGACACAAACCATTTCTGTGCCAATGTTTTATAGTCATATATTTAAGGAACACTATAGGGTCAGGAGCAGAAACATGTATTCCTGACCCTATCGTGTTAAAATCACTGTCTAGCCCCCCTGAGCTTTCCCCCAGGAAAGCATGTTTTGGCTGAGATTGTCAATTCTGGTGACCACAGCCAAGGAGGCGGGGGAGTGGAGCCAAACGCCGCCCTGTCCAATCAGCATCTCCTAAGAGATACACTGAATCAATGCATTTCTATGGGGAAAGTTCAGCACCTCAATGTATAGCGATGAGACGCTGAACATCAGAAAGCACCTCTAGTGGCCATCTGAGGAGTAGCCACTAGACGTTTTCCTAGGCTACAGAGTAAAAAGGCAGTGTTTACCACACAAAGTCTGCACGGACATGGTATAGACACCAGAAAAACTACATTAAGCTGTAGTTGTTCTGGTGACTATTGTGTCCTTTTAAACTGTGTATATTTCTTTGAAAGAGTGGACATAAAATCAAGATGATATTTTTCTTTTAGCAATATTATGATATTGATTCACATTTTAAAGGAACACTATAGGGTGAGGAACACAAACATGTATTCCTGACCCTATAGTGTTATAACCACCATCTAGCCCCCCTGAGCCCGTCATACCTTCCTAAATATAGCAAACTCTTGCTTGCATTCAAGCCTGAAGCTGTAGCTCTGCATGTTGTTTGCCTCAGAATAGCAACGAGTCTGCTGACATCATCAGAAGTTGTATCCTGATCCAATTACAGTGCTTCTCCATAGGATTGGCTGAGACTGACAAGGAGGCAGATTGGGGGAGAGCCAGCACAATTCAAACACAGCCCTGGCCAATCAGCATCTCCTCATAGAGATGAATTGAATCAATGAATCTCTATGAGGAAAGTTCAGTGTCTGTATGCAGAGGGAGGAGATACTGAATGTTTGGATGCATTTTAGGCAGCAATGACCCTGGAAGGATCTCTAACAGCTATCTAAGGAGTGGCCAGTGAAGTTATCACTAGGCTGTAATGTAAACACTGCATTTTGCTGTAAAGACAGTGTTTACGGGGCGGAGCCTGGCAGCCACGCTGAACGGTCGCATAATATTTGGGCTCCGAGGCAACTTACCCATATTCAGCTACAATTAACAAAGAAAGCCCTAAAAACCGACTGCACAACAGCTCCAGCAACAGAGATCTTCCGAAGTGGCAACGAGCGACAGAAGATCCGACCGCAAGCGGCAATCTTTTACCGGAGATCGACCCAAGGCCTGCAGAGGACCCGACCGGGCGAAACGAGGGAGGCGGCCGATCCCTTTGCCGCGGCAGTCCTCACGGCTAAAGGTCTCCCTGGAATACCTTATCTCTCCCCCCCCCCCCTGCCGGTGGGGGACATCCCGGCAATTATAAGCGAGAATCCAGCTACACCACAAGCGGCAAAGTCAGCAATCAGGCGAAGCTTACAGGGCCCGACCAAGATGGCGGAGCAGCCTAAGACCAAGCACCCACGCATTGCACCGCCCAAGCACACATGGGTCTTCATAGACTTGCTGAGTACCTATCTCTGGGCAAAGCTCAAAGCCGGAAAGCAACCCTACCGCATGGCAATGAGAGGGGTGGTGGCGTGGATCCGCCAGTCCGCCCAACGTACCCTGCAATGGCATCCTCCTCACAAACTCAGAGCGACCCCCAAACTGCAGCAGAACCAGAGCTCAAACAGGCGGGAAACTGAGTTGGGCCCCCCAAACACTGAAACCCACAACCCCGCAACACAGGACAAGCCCAGACCTACCCCTCACTCAGCGGTCCCAGAAACGAGGGACCAGCACAGTACAAACCTGCACACTGCCACCCACGGAGTGCGACGCGGACACCAACTCGAGACAGGCTCAGCCCTTGGCCCTCAGGACAGAGGGGGACGTGTCTTCGAGCGCAGTTGCTGACTCCAGGTGTTTGCCACTCAGCGATGCAGAGGACTGCGGGTAGAGGAGACTAAAGACCCGGAGCAGCATGGCGGGAGTCAATGGCCAACGCACAAAATCAATGCAAAGGATGACCTCATACCAGCAGCCGGTGTAGGCTAAGTGACTCTCGAGACTTTCAACGCAATCTGTCCTGCTCGCGCCGAGCTACTTAATGTTGGACATCCTAGCAAAGTTAACTTTATCAGCATTTTTCTGCATAGGGATTTTGCCTAATGGGTACAACTAAAATGCCTGTAAGCTATATTTTACACGAGACTTAAATGGCGGAGCGCCAAGGACAACTACTGTTCCTTTTAATTTGTTTTCATTTGATTTGATAGGCTTATTTGATTTACCCCGAAAGATATAGCGTAGTCAAAATATTACATAAAAATACACCAACAAGCGGAGCATTTTAGCCTACACAATACACGTGAAATTCTGTCAAAGCTATCACCAACATGCTCCCCCTTCTCTTTTTAACACAGCGTTGGGGACAATCTGGTCTCACTCCCCCCACCCCAGCACATTCTCAACATTAGGGCAGGCACTGTCTTGAGAAATAACAGCGTTACACAACGCCTAAGTCTGATCACATATCGTAAAATGTTGCATTACACACGCGGGTTATGTTCCTGGATGGCCGGACACTTGCTACTCTCATACTCATCTGCCGGTTTTGCCTGGTAACCTTCTCTTCTATTCGTGTGTTATAAGCAGGCAGTCTATACTAGCTCACACATAGAAAGTACACATGTAATTTGCTTAGCATACTTTATAAGCATTAAACCACTTAACCTTATCAGCATAAACAAATGTTAAACTTACGACCTGCCTAGTATATGTTACATGTGTATTTGAATTTGACTTAACGCCTAGATCATCGTAAATAGACAGGAATGCTCAATTGTAACTTACTATGTCTATCCACTGTCCACTTTTTCTCTCAACGAAACTTAAAAAATTGTGCCGTATATTCATATGCCCTGTTTTGATTGTTATGCCTATTACTGCTTACGACTGCTATCGTGGCTGAGTAAGCCTATTGTTACTCCATGCACAATAAAAAAATAAAGAATTTAAAAAAAAAAATAGTGTTTACAGCAAAAAGCCTGAAGGTAATGATTCTACTCACCAGAACAAACTCAATAAGCTGTAGTTGTTCTGGTGACTATATTCTCCCTTTAAGTAAAAGCAGTATCACTTGTAGACAATAAAATCAAAGTAGGACTTACTTTTTTTTACTTTATTTTTCATTGTCTTGACCCATTTCAAGAATTTCTGATTCAAAACGATCAACACCACAACAAATAGGAGAACAGCAATAATGATGCCAATGTAAACTATGACCATTACAGTATTATCGTCTGGTTTTCCTACAGGTAATAAATGAAAAATGTATCAAAACATTACAAAAATGTATATCAATCAAGCTACTGATATTATAATTAAGATCCATGCAATATACATTCTATGCAATATAATACATTTCCCCCAAAACATTCATAATTGTTAAAGGGATACTCCAGACCCTTAAAGCACTTTAGCTTGCTGAATTGTTTTATGTGTGAAATGTATGTCCACTTAATAGAAGCTAACATTTTTATAAATTAAACTTGTGACAGCTTCCCGGCTGACAGACAACTGGCCATGTTACTTCCTGTTTGTTTGGCTCAGTGGAACTAAACTCAAACTTGCCCAGTGTACCTGCCTTGCAAAAGACTTCTTATTGAGCTGTATAGGGAAGTCTGTGATTGGACAGCCACAGAAAGTCTGGGCGGGGTTAGAAGGGAAGGCTTTGAAAAGACTACCGACAAGAGATCTGCAGCTTTTGCAAGCTGTTTTTTTTAAAGATATAGCCCTGATTAAAAAAAAGTATACATGTTTTCATTAGGGGTATACCAGCAAAACAATAATCTAGTTAATTGGCCAGCTGCCCCAAAGTTAGCAGAACTCCCATGTTGGCCCTTTTGTGACCCAAGTTGCATGTCTGTTTCCTATAATATCTATCAATAGCTTAACAATGAAATAAAAATGCATTCTGAGTGGTCACAGCCAGAAATAAAGTGATTGTGCATGAAATATAAAGGAAACGGGTGAGTTTCCTGAGAGATGAGTGGTGCATCTAACATTAGCTTTCTCAGAAGCAGGTCTACAACTACCAAATAGCTAATAATGAAACTACAACAGCACACATTCTCCCTGTTAACACAGGGCTGCCATATGATGCCATCTTTTAATAACTATTCTCTGGAATAATATATTTGAATGTACCTTAAGATGATGAATACCATGAGCAATACCTTTCAATTCATTACGAACCCTACACCTCTCTTTTTCCCATAGGATCATTTACAGGGGTTTATCAAACGATGAATGGTGGTTAACTGTTGTAACCCAGCGATAAACATTTAGACCCCATTGGATTAAATACACATTTAGATTTTAATTTTGATGGGGTAAATGTTTCCTTTTTTAAGGGAACATGAACGTGCAGGAATATTAACAATCTATAGCTAGAATGCAGTTTGAAGAGCTGCATGAGTTTCTTATAAGACTTGAAACAGAATAATACCATTACCCACAATATAGCTTTGGAATGAGTAATGTTAAGCCTTTCCCAAACTTAAATTTTGAAGTTAGGCATGTAGTGAGTTAACAAATCTAACTGAGCTGCCTGGAAAAAGGCACGTTTCTCTTTGCACTGATCGCAGAATTACAAAGTTTAAAAGGAAAAACAAAAACTATCCAGAAGGATAAGTCTTGGTTCTTAAAGGGATATGTATCACTTGACAAGTATTATTTAAAACAGCAGGGAAACACTTTTAAACAAATTTACAAACTAAAATAAAACATTCTAAAAGTATGTAATAAATCATAAGCTTAATATAAACATAAACATGGTCAGATAGGAGAGTTTCACCATCCCTCTCTCCATCTTCCCTACCCATCTCAGTTTCAGAACAGTCTACTAATTACAAAAACAGAGCATCATTGTCTGGTCTGGTGTTCAGACTCCATCTTTCCTCCCCCTATCATGATGTTGCACCATCACACTGATCAGACTCCATCTTTTCTCCCCCTATCATGATCTTGCAAGGTGAAGAGATCTTCCAATTGCCCATGTGTAAATCTGTAAGGCATGCCCAATGCACTTTTCTAGCATACATAGGGATAAGACACAGTCTTAGACACAGGTTAGATCTGTGTCCCCCTGAAGTGGGTGTGCAAAGCAAATATAAAAAAAAGCAGATAAAAATGAAAAGAAAGAAATACTTTTTTTTCAGCCTGCAGAATGAGACCGTTATCTCAAAGGGATGCATGTCCCTTTAACTAACCGCATATCGGTTATATTATATTTTATATTCTGAGCTAAGGCCACCCATGCCTCATGGGTTGTATAAAGTGTTTGTGTGTATCCCAGATAGTATTTCTTGCTGATATATATATATATATATATATATATATATATATATATATTTATAGTATCTTGTGCGAATTGACTTACTTGTTACTTCTCTGACTGTTGTAATTATTGTGGTAGATTTTTCTGTAGTTTTGATAAGATCTGCACAAACCACATCTGAAGAACTGCTTCCATTAAGCAAAATGTGACCGTTCTCACAGCTGAAAGAAAGAAAAAAAAAAAAAATATATATATATATATATATATATATATATATATATATATATAAAAAAAACATTTTTAAGCAGATAAAAAGAGGACTCCAGTCTAACATCTGACAATCACTTAATTACTTTTTATTCAATATAAGAAAGAGGAGACAACACCAAGGAATGTAGTGATCTGTGAATATAGTATTTGGTGCTGGAAACACTAGACCAAATATTAAAGGACAACTATAGGCACCCAGACCACTTCAGCTTAATGAAGTGGTCTGGGTGCCAGGTCCAGCTAGGGTTAACCCTTTTTTCTATAAACATAGCAGTTTCAGAGAAACTGCTATGTTTATAAATGGGTTAATCCAGCCTCTAGTGGCTGTCTCATTGACAGCCGCTAGAGGGCTTCAGCGCTTCTCACTGTGATTTTCACAGTGAGAAGACGCTTGCGTCCAAAGGAAAGCATTGTGAATGCTTTCCTATGGACTGGCTGAATGCGCGCGCAGCTCCTGCCGCGCATGTGCGTTCAGCCGAAGAGGCGGAGGTTTAACCCCTTCCTCTCCCCACAGCCCGGCGGGAGGGGGACCCTGAGGGTGGGGGCACCCTCAGGGCACTATAGTGCCAGGAAAAAGAGTATGTTTTCCTGGCACTATAGTGGTCCTTTAAGAGAAAAGAGACACAATATTAGTGGTGGGGGAAAAAAAAAAGAGGGAAAAAATTGGAAGAGGGAGAACATGAACTGGCCACAATCCTTTCTTTAAACTTCATACAACAGGCTTTCAGATAAGTTGATAGGAGTTAAAACAGACTGGAATGTAAAACAAGAATGTATTTTCTTTATTGCTCAACGGAATAAAGGGCCCACTAGTCTCTCCCTTTTCTGACAGATATATTTCCATTGTGTGTGTGTGTGTATATATATATATATACACACAGTTGCAAGAAAAAGTATGTGAACCCTTTGGAATGATATGGATTTCTGCAAAAATTGGTCATAAAATGTGATCTAAGTCACAACAATAGACAATCACAGTCTGCTTAAACTAATAACACACAAAGAATGAAATGTTGCCATGTTTTTATTGAACACACCATGTAAACATTCACAGTGCAGGTGGAAAAAGTATGTGAACCCCTAGACTAATGACATCTCCAAGAGCTAATTGGAGTGAGATGTCAGCTAACTGGAGTCCAATCAATGAGATGAGATTGGAGGTGTTGGTTACAGCTGCCCTGCCCTATAAAAAAAAACACACACCAGTTCTGGGTTTGCTTTTCACAAGAAGCATTGCCTGATGTGAATGATGCCTCACACAAAAGAGCTCTCAGAAGACCTACGATTAAGAATTGTTGACTTGCATAAAGCTGGAAAGGGTTATAAAAGTATCTCCAAAAGCCTTGCTGTTCATCAGTCCACTGTAAGACAAATTGTCTATAAATGGAGAAAGTTCAGCACTGCTGCTACTCTCCCTAGGAGTGGCCGTCCTGTAAAGAGGACTGCAAGAGCACAGCGCAGACTGCTCAATGAGGTGAAGAAGAATCCTAGAGTGTCAGCTAAAGACTTACAAAAGTCACTGGCAAATGCTAACATCCCTGTTAGCGAATCTACAATACGTAAAACACTAAACAAGAATGGATTTCATGGGAGGATACCACAGAGGAAGCCACTGCTGTCCAAACAAAACATTGCTGCACGTTTACAGTTTGCACAAGAGCACCTGGATGTTCCACAGCAGTACTGGCAAAATATTCTGTGGACAGATGAAACCAAAGTTGAGTTGTTTGGAAGAAACACACAACACTATGTGTGGTGAAAAAAAGGCACAGCACACCAACATCAAAACCTCATCCCAACTGTGAAGTATGGTGGTGGGGGCATCATGGTTTGGGGCTGCTTTGCTGCGTCAGGGCCTGGACGGATTGCTATCATCGAAGGAAAAATGAATTCCCAAGTTTATCAAGACATTTTGCAGGAGAACTTAAGGCCATCTGTCTACCAGCTGAAGCTCAACAGAAGATGGGTGTTGCAACAGGACAATGATCCAAAGCATAGAAGTAAATCAACAACAGAATGGCTTAAACAGAAGAAAATACGCCTTCTGAAGTGGCCCAGTCAGAGTCCTGACCTCAACCCGATTGAGATACTGTGGCATGACCTCAAGAAAGCGATTCACACCAGACATCCCAACAATATTGCTGAACTGAAACCGTTCTGTAAAGAGGAATGGTCAAGAATTACTCCTGACCATTGTGCACGTCTGATCTGCAACTACAGGAAACGTTTGGTTGAAGTTATTGCTGCAAAAGGAGGTTCAACCAGTTATTAAATCCAAGGGTTCACATACTTTTTCCACCTGCACTGTGAATGTTTACATGGTGTGTTCAATAAAAACATGACAACATTTTATTCTTTGTGTGTTATTAGTTTAAGCAGACTGTGATTGTCTATTGTTGTGACTTAGATGATGATCAGATCACATTTTATGACCAATTTGTGCAGAAATCCATATCATTCCAAAGGGTTCACATACTTTCTCTTGCAAATGTGTATATAATATGAATGAGATATATAACATGATGGACACACCAGAGAGAATTGTATTATGACAAAACTATTTCCACATACAATTAAATTTATTAACATATTCTGCAAAGCTGTTCAAAATGTAAAACAAGACAAATAGTGAATCTAACAAAGCATGTTTGACATACAAGAAAAGTAGGTGAAGAGGGACCTACCCAAACAAGCTTACAACATATATGAATTACTATTATTATTATTATTATTACTACTATCAACTCATTCCACAGCACTTTACAATATTATGGTAGGGGAAAATGTAACAATAAAAGGTAAAATTACAAAATGATACAGGAACAATAGGTAGATGAGAACCCTGCTCAGACAAGCTTACAGTCTAGACCAGGGCAACTTTCGGCACTCCAGATGTTGTGGACTACATCTCCAATAATGCTCTTACGAGCATAATACTTGCAAAGCTTCAAGGGAGATGTAGTCTACAACATCTGGAGTGCCAAAGGTTGCCTACTCCTGGTCTAGAGGATGAGATGCATATACAAAATGAAAGGCACATCAGAATGAGACAAATCACTAAGCAAGTGCTTTCTTTCTGTAGCGGCAAATGCAGTCCTGTGTGGCTGCTTTCTCCACTGCATTCATTGTATATCCTCCTCGATGCATATACCGATCTAATAATATACAGAATGATTCTGACAATCTGCTTACAACAAGATAATACTTTTAACATTATTACATACCTTTTCCATGCTTTACATTCCTTATCGGTTCCATCGTTAAAAGTTCCATATGGGCAGTCTATGCATTCTACTAAGACAAAGAAAGGCAAGGTTTGTATTCTACCCTAGCAGTTAGTTGTCATTTAAAAACTTTGGCTAACAATGTTATGCGGTCTCTTGCTTGCAAAGATTACAGGAATCAACAACATGGACGTCAATAGAGTAATTAAGGTAATTGGATCTGAATCCCTTTATTGACTTCATCTTGAAATTCCTTGTAATACTGTAATTGGCTATGAACTATTAACCCAAAACTCACCCAGTTACAATAGGCAAAATGCAACAGGGGAAGTCTGATGACATTTAAATGTCCCAGTTACTTGATATTTTTTTAAGCCACAGGGTTTTAGAGTGTTAGGCCAAAGAGAAAAATTAAATTTTTATAGCAATTTTGATGAAATTTTAACATATCAATATCCTTACTTTTGCCAATAAGTTGTTGACCTGCTTTACAAGGAATATTTTTACATGTCATGCAGTCTTTGTCAGCACATCTTTTCCCTGGGACACATTTACACACAGCATTCGATTTGTACGTGCACGTTTTCTCATACTGAAAAATTCCTTTAAAAGAAGAAGACAAAGGTTAAAAATCACACAATGACATTTCGTTATGCAATAAAACGGATTGCTCACTACTGCCTTGTATAAAGCATGGACAGGGTGGGATATAGTCATATATAACGCAACGCACACACAAAAAAATATTGAAATGAAATTATATATCACACACAGACTGATTCTGCATACTGGAGAAAGCCTTTATAAGGGTTTTCTTTAGCTATGCAATCTTAGAGAGCTTTGACAGGCAAGTCTTACATAGCTTAAGACTTGTGTGGGAAAAAATATTATATTATTAATAGCCCCGGCCTGCTGCCAATACATGGAAGTTGGGGGACATTGAGTCCCCCAGGTTATTAGAATATTAATAGTTCCCACCTTATGCCTCTGGTTCCCCTTGTTTATTTTATTTAATAGCCCCCACCTACTGGCTATGGGTGGAAGCACAGGGGGGTACTATGCCCTTGAGGTATTTGTTATAGCCCCCCATGGGGGCACATGTGATTATCCAATATGCCTCCTGGGATATTATTTAATTATAGCCCAATGTAGGGACACAGGGGACCTGTACCAGGTCCTGTCTATATGTCAATAACAACTCTGTAAATTGAACTTTAATAACACACCGGGGTCTTCTGCAAGGTATAGAAGGCTATTTACAGGAGATAAGAAATTCTAAATTAAACAGAATGTGCAATAAAGGAAGTTTGAATTATATTATATCATTATTGGTAATCAGCATACTTGATTACTTATAACAAGGATTTTTATGTTTAATGATTTAAAAAAAAAAAATTTTTACAGCATTTATTTTACATGTCTACATTTTTATAGTCCAAGTCTTATTTAATTGTAAACTTATTGATCTTTATCTTATCTGAAAAGATCTGGGTATTTCGCAAATTTTCAGCTTTGTACTGTATGACATCTTTAAATGCTTAGCATAAAAATATATATTTGTCTAGATACTATACTGCTTTCACTTATCACACAATGGAAACTTCTATTACACCTGTCTGACTTCCCTCAAATTAATTTTACAAGGGCATTTCACCAGACTATTTTTCCCCTTAAGTTCATAAAATTACTCTTCCTTATTTTTTTATCTTTGAGCTGAATTCCAGAATGACAGCAATACTTTCCATAATTTTGCAATAACATTTTTTTTTAATACATGTATTTGCAACTTCCTGGTTAATGTAGTAAATATTATAGCACGAGAGATCTTGTATTTATATAGTTTTGCCCATATAACTTACCAGTCATAGCATAATTAATTTTTTTACAACCTTAGCCAACTTTAAAGTGTCAATAGAAGCACCACAACCTTTCCATGATTGCAAAATGATATAATGCAGTTTTTTGTTTTGTTCCCATTCTAGAGGGATTGCAAAGCTAAGGGGAAACAAAACGGCATCTGATATGGGGCTTTAAATGAACATTACCATTTTGTTATTCACCATAGTGATGGATAAAGACAAAGGGGAAGCATGGAGGACTTCCGAAATAATCTACAAGTGAAACCTATAATACTTCCCATTTTATAACAATAAACCTTTTGTGGCTTACTCTAATTTCTTGGGCATCTTTATAAGTTTCCCTATTGTATTCATAAGGTAAATAGCAATATCACAGTATAGTTTGTGAGTTTTAACTTGCGTTTATCAAGGGCCTGGTTAAATGTTTGCCGGGTTTAGGAGTCAGTGGGCTACTACTGTGAGTAAAGGGGACTTTGAGTGGTGGCAACTTCTCCAAACACCTTCTCATGACGGTCTAGTGTAAGTAAGAGGGAATTCTCCATAGTGCTAATTGGTAATGCCATATAACATTATGTAAAACACATTGAGGACAAATGTAGAAATAATTGCTTACTTATCTCTATAACCCTGGACAATGATTTATAAACTATTGCCACATCCAAAACAAGCAATTAAACCTCTTAATGACCATTACTGTCATAATATACAGGGACTTACTATGGCCTTATTCCATTGAACCAGCCATTCCCAAGTTTTACATTTGCTCATAATATTATTAAAAACGTACAATAAACAGAACATGTATCTAAGCCAATATATCTGGATATAGTTATTATACATCAATTATTGATCACTGTGAGCTAATAAGATATTTGGATATACTTATTATGCATGAATATTCCAAACACCATAACCACTATAGTACACTGTAGTGGTTATGGTGCCAGACGTGTTCAAATAATTTTAAAATGGTTTGATTTCATCCTTCGGTTCCCTTTTTTTCCTTCACAAATCACTCTGTCTGTGCTGTCTAGCAGCGCACTCTATTGGATGAGAGTGATCAGTTGACTCTCTTAGACAATGAGTAAACCTTGCGTTGCTTAGCTCAGGAGAACAGAAGTTCCTGCTTAAGAGCTTTAAGTTGTACATTAGGAGTGTAAGAGAGGAACTGCGCTATGCGGCAGTGGCTGAATTGCTGCTAGTGTGGCTGCACCAGGGCCCGCACGCTGTTTAGGCCCAATGGGTGTCCTTCTCACTTAGAGACACTTGATGGGCATCTCTGATATTGGGCCGGGTGCCATGGCACATTAACAGTGCGACCAGCCCCTGTCAGATGGAACTGGGAGGAAGTGTGTGTATCTGTCAGAGTGTATGTGTATCTGTGTGTGTCAGTGTGTATGTGTGTGCATATGTGTCAGATGTATGTGTATTTATGTCAGTATAATTGTTTATCTGTGTGTGGCAGTGTGTATGTGTCCATTCATCTCAGCATTCAAGCGCCAACAGTACACACAAATGCTCATCTACATTAAAATGCCAACATTACACATAAATGCGCAACTGAATTCAACAGGTAACAATAAATACAAATACACTACTACATTCACACACGCATACTCCATGCAAAAACATGCTACATCCAAACACACAAGCACTGCTCACAAATACAATCCAAATAAAATGGTTGATCTCCAACTGTCAAAGCTTTGTGGGAGTTGCATGACTGTCAAGGAAGTACCTTTTGTCCTTCCATATGCTAGAGGGTCCCAAAGAAATCGTGCACAAGGGCCCCCTCTACATTAGTCCTGCCACTGCCATGCACACCACAGGTATGAAGTCAAACCACTCTACAACCATTTTACTACTCAAAGTGGATGAGCACCAGTACACTACTGGCACTATAACCACTACAACTAAGTTACAGCAGTTACAGTGCTGGGAGTGTTCCTTTAAGCAGTATTAACATAAAGACATTATAGTGGAAATACATTTTTTGTGCTGCTAAAACTTATATATTCAAGGCTTGCAAGTGTGTTCTTCAGAGTCATAGCCATCAGTCAAATATGCAGCCCTCTTGGTTTTGTGTGTGTGTGTGTGTGTATATATGTATGTACATATCTTGCATTGTGGAAATCACCTTCTTATATCAGTGTCACTATATGCATTTATGCATTAAGACAGGAATAGAAACAGTAAAGTGCTTTATTTATCTTTACAGACATTGTTCCTCCACTGAGACCCTTTGTGGATAGACTACCTACTATGGCATTTGTTCTCATTAATGTCAGACAGCAATATTTTGTCTTCTGTGTGTCATGTGTCATGGTAGGATCCCCGGACATTGGACTCTTGGAGAAGAAGTTATTTTTTTGTCCAGATCATTCATCCAACTCTAGTAGCATGAATCATGGGTGAACATTAATACAGTTGCAAGAAAAAGTATGTGAACCCTTTGGAATGATATGGATTTCTGCACAAATTGGTCATAAAATGTGATCTGATCATCATCTAAGTCACAACAATAGACAATCACAGTCTGCTTAAACTAATAACACACAAAGAATGAAATGTTGCCATGTTTTTACTGAACACACCATGTAAACATTCACAGTGCAGGTGGAAAAAGTATGTGAACCCCTAGACTAATGATATCTACAAGAGCTAATTGGAGTGAGATGTCAGCCAACTGGAGTCCAATCAATGAGATGAGATTGGAGGTGTTGGTTACAGATGCCCTGCCCTATAAAAACACACACCAGTTCTGGGTTTGCTTTTCACAAGAAGCATTGCCTGATGTGAATGATGCCTTGCACAAAAGAGCTCTCAGAAGACCTACGATTAAGAATTGTTGACTTGCATTAGGCTGGAAAGGGTTATAAAAGTATCTCCAAAAGCCTTGCTGTTCATCAGTCCACGGTAAGACAAAATGTCTATGGATCAAGAAAGAACAGCACTGCTGCTACTCTCCCTAGGTGTGGCCGTCCTGTAAAGATGACTGCAAGAGCACAGCGCAGACTGCTCAATGAGGTGAAGAAGAATCCTTGAGTGTCAGCTAAAGACTTACAAAAGTCACTGGCAAATGCTAACATCCCTGTTAGCGAATCTACAATACGTAAAACACTAAACTAGAATGGATTTCATGGGGATACCACAGAGGAAACCACTGCTGTCCAAACAAAACAATGCTGCACGTTTACAGTTTGCACAAGAGCACTTGGATGTTCCACAGCAGTACTGGCAAAATATTCTGTGGACAAATGATACTAGTTGTTTGGAAGAAACAAACAACACTATGTGTGGCGAAAAAAAGGCACAGCACACCAACATCAAAACCTCATCCCAACTGTGAAGTATGGTGGTGGGGGGCATCATGGTTTGGGGCTGCTTTGCTGCGTCAGGGCCTGGACGGATTGCGATCATCGAAGGAAAAAAGAATTCCCAAGTTTATCAAGACATTTTGCAGGAGAACTTAAGGCCAACTGTCTACCAGCTGAAGCTCAACAGAAGATGGGTGTTGCAACAGGACAATGACCCAAAGCATAGAAGTAAATCAACAACAGAATGGCTTAAACAGAAGAAAATACGCCTTCTGAAGTGGCCCAGTCAGAGTCCTGACCTCAACCCGATTGAGATGCTGTGGCATGACCTCAGGAAAGTGATTCACACCAGACATCCCAAGAATATTGCTGAACTGAAACAGTTCTGTAAAGAGGAATGGTCAAGAATTACTCCTGACCATTGTGCACGTCTGAGCGGCAACTACAGGAAACGTTTAGTTGAAGTTATTGTTGCCAAAGGAGGTTCAACCAGTTATTAAATCCAAGGGTTCACATACTTTTTCCACCTGCACTGTGAATGTTTACATGGTGTGTTCAATAAAAACATGGCAACATTTCATTCTTTGTGTGTTATTAGTTTAAGCAGACTGTGATGGTCTATTGTTGTGACTTAGATGATGATCAGATCACATTTTAAGACCAATCTGTGCAGAAATCCATATCATTCAAAATGGTTCACATACTTTTTCTTGCAACTGTACATAACTATTTTTAAAGCAAAGCCCTCCCTTCCTTCTCTCATGTTCAATGGATCTTGCACTCCATCCCAGACTTACCCTGTAGCAACTAATGAACAAATATACAACTAGTCAGCTTAATAGTGACCATTTATTATGATGAATGACTGGAGACTGAAACTTGCAACCATAATAGTTAAACATATACTGCATCCTGAATTTCAGTTTTGGGATATCAATGGCATTTTTGGAACAAAACTCCAAAACAGTACATCAAACCATATACTTGCTGTTGTACACAAAGAGGGGGTACAGATTAGATCAGTTTGATAAAGAACATCTTGTGTATGACTAAGTTCTAAAGATGACTGAACGCTAGACTTTTCCAATAATACTGGACTAAAATTGATGGTGCCATTATTCTGGAGACTTACTGATCTACGTCATAGGCTGATCATGCCTGTCTTACATGATTTAATGGAATATTTTACCAAACGTTATTATATCTCACGTACCTTCACAACTTCGGCATCTTTTACAGTTGAAGTTGCTGTTTGGTACATCCATGTAACTTGAAAGTGGACATGCATCACACTTTTGACAATTTTCAGCAGTACGTCGAAAGCCTGTTGGTAATGAATTATATATTGCATAAGTCAACAAATCATAGGTTTATTTAAAAAGGATGTAAAATAATATAAAAATTATTCTGTGCTTTGTGAGTGGTGTGTAATGGTTTGAAAACTTTCACACACTAAAATGAGAGATGTACATATCCTTTGTCAAATGGAGAGTAACTTCGTACCAAGCAATTTATGTCACCACACTTACATAAAATTATATAAATATATTAAAAATAAGCTCCTGTACAATGAGCACAGGAGTGTCAAGATAAGGGAATTCCTTAAAAGATTGTCTTAAAGAAATATCAGTTTTATTAATAATAACCAAAGAAAATATATTGTGCAAGACACCCACTAGTTAAGTGAATAACTGTAATGAAATATTTCTTTCTTAAGGCAGAGCCAATTGTAGGTTTAGCTCTATGTTGCCTTCCAACTAGAGGCTTCTTACTAGAGGCTTCTGTTGCTAGTTTTTGTTGTGTTTGTTTTTCTAATTATTATTAACAATAAGTGCTGGAGAGCTCATAAATGATATACCTCACCTGTTTTATAAAACATACAGAAATCCCGAGCCACCTATACCTAAGAATCTCAAGTAAAAACGTATGAGAAGCGGTCTCTTTTTTTCTTTTTATTTCTATGCTGCCTGTTGCAGGTTTTTAATATTGAAAATTTAGGATCTCAGACTCTGATCACTTCCATGTCACCGATGTCACCATTGCACATACTTGCATTGATTTGAATTCATAACATTTTAATTTTCTCTGCTCTCTGGCACTTAGGTCATTCTAGTGATGCTAGCGGCTGCTCATTTATGCATCCGCCATTCTGCAGTATAGAGTGATGCAATATCATTTTCTTTTTTTAAACATCATTTGGTATGGCCATTCGTGGTTCCTTTTTGACCCAACAGCACATTCCTCTGTATAGTGTGATTTTCTTGTTTTGTAAGATTTGAAAAATGATTTTTTATGTGTTCTTCCATTGCCTATTTTACATAAATGTTGGTCTCTACAAATCCACCACTATAAATAAATGTCTGTTCTGGGTTTTTCTCCCAGTTTGGGTATTTGCCCAGTAGGATCAGACATTGGAAAGGGTGGTGTTTACATTAAAACAAACGATTACTGTACATTTATGGAGTGGAGACCAATGTTTGCTCTTTTCTGAATACTGTAATTTCCTCATTCAGGGTTATGCACTTAAGTGAGGATTCAAAGTGAATTTCCAATTTAAGGCCAAATAGCCAAAGATTGAGATGGAAACATTCTCCAAGTCAGCTGGGCTTCAAGTTAAGTTATTTTAAGATGTTACATTTACTTTGGATTTACTTTCAATTTTTCCTTTAGTAAACAACCCGGCTTGTTTTGTCTAATGATTATTCACTTATAAGTGTATGCATGTCATATCTTGAATAATGTAATGAACACTAACAATGTAAGTGCTGAAAGGTGAGCTTTGACCAATTAATTTGAAATCCACACTTATTTCTTCAGGAATGTCTAGTTTGAAAAACAATATTTGCCTTTAAAATAAATGTTGTAATACTCCCTGTCTATCCATTGAAAGAAAACCAGGAACAGAAACATACCACCCAACATTTTAAATGGACAAAGAGGGATGCCTTAATTTTAGGGGTGTGGGTAAGGGTGTGGCCAGGGGCAGGGCTTTTCTGGGGGGGGAAATAGGTGACTTCAATAACAATTTGTGCAACTAAAATTTAATTTGTGCAACTAAAATGTAACCTGATCTCGCGGCCCGACTGGACAGCATATTCGCCACCTTTTGGAACAAAATAGAACAACGACAGACTACCAGGCAAGAAAAAACAGTTCACCACCTAAGCAATCACCCCCACGCACCCAGCAGAGACCTGCGGCAACGAAAGTGGTGAGAGCAGGAAACAAGCGGAGGAGAGTGCAGCCTCCCCCCACCTGCACAAGCCAGCTCACGGTTGAAGAGGGAAGCGGCTAGACACAGATGAGCTGCCCGACCCGTAAGCGGCTTCCTCCACCGGCAAGGGCCAAAGCAAACAAAGGAGACAGGGAGGATAGCGGAAAGAGCTCTCAAAGCGCTGGAGACACCAGAGGAAACCCCCTCACGCTATGCGAACACTGATGAATCTAAAGGCCTGCCACTATACCTCCTAAGGCGAGCCGCAGCTATGAGGGAAACTGGCATAGGCTGACCGGGGCTCCCAAACTTATGGACACTGCACCTGACCAACCCAAGCTAAAGATATGTCAGTCTGTTGTGCCCTGAAATATTATTTTGCATGTTTTACTATTATCTCTTGTTCTCACTCCTTGCTCTCCTCCTGTACTCTCTTATGACAATTATTAAATAGAGAAAAGCAAATCTCTCACATTTTTAAGCTGATTAATTAGTTCATGTTTAACCAAGCATAGAGTCACTAAGGCAGTGTTTCCCAACCCAGTCCTCAAGGCACACCTACCAGTCCAGGATTTAGGGATTACCCAGTTGTGTCTAAGGTGTTTTTACAAAAAAGAAAAAAAAACACCTTAGACACAACTGGGTAATCCCTAAATCCTGGACTGGTAGGTGTGCCTTGAGAACTGGGTTGGGAAACACTGCACTAAGGTAAAGTCTAGAGCACACGTGCAGTCTGCCAGCTTTATAGCACTAAAACCGGCTGCAATGCTAGCTAGCACCGCTAAGTTGTTAACCATGCGAAAAACGCATCACCAGACATGCATAGAAAACTACAGTTACTATTCATAATTCAACATGTTACACAGCTTGACTATACCTATTTACTAAAAATTGTGCGCTACGACTCATTGTACTCCACACCCTTGTCTTCAACAATGCTGTACACCATTAACGCAGAGCTACATAACTATTTAGCATGCAATGAACAAGACGGTTAGCTTACCACTTACCTAAACATCTGACATACAACTTTGTACAACGTAATTTCACGAATTATCACAAATTGTGCAAGTTCCCCTATATACTCCACTGTACCCCATGCGAGTCTGTTATTCTAAATGCACTGAAAAAAAAAAAAACTGTTCCAAAGGACAAACACACAAATTTAGGCAGCACTTCCAACTCATGCTTGACAAAAGGCGCAACTGCCTTTGGTCGAGCTCTCAGCCATCACCAGTGACAGCTGAGGGGAACCATGCTCTTTCTATCGAAGATACAGTGATCTTGCTGTAATTTTCCCATAGACCTCAGCATTGTACGCTTGCTGTCTTCTCCTGGCAGATGAACCACCAGGAGGTGAAGAGGACGATTTATTTACTATGTAATGATCTTTGTTGTTGATATGTGTCCTGTTGCTCAATCTACACAAATGTTGAAGCCTTTGCCTGATGCCTACAGTTGTTTAATCAATACTACATGACCCAAAGTACATAATACTTGTACTAAAGCGGATAATATCATGCGCTTTAGGTCTGTTACAAAAATAAACATCACATGTTGACTTTGTGCCACATTCTTACATGCTGACTTTTATATGTATATAAAGTACAGTTTGCTTCTTCATAGTGAATTAAATAAGTTTATATTATTGTCATTTATGTTTGTTTCATTATATTTGTCTTATTTGGTCTTTGAAAAAAAGAAAATGAATTTAAAAAAAAAAAAAAAAGTAATCTAGAATATTTTCAGTAATCATCATGGTTAATTTGTAGGGCGGTGTTAACTATTGTGGTTCCCTCAAACAAAAATTGGGTAACAATTATAAGAATTGTGTAACAAGCACATCTATTATTAGAAAACAACGTAAAATGTGGTTGTACATTTTTGTAAAAAATAATGCTGTAGCTACAAGAATGAAGTAAATATGTTGAGCTCCTTATCTTGTGAAAAATTAATTAAAAAAAATATACATTAATTAAAAAACTAAAACAATCCTTCCCCCTCATGTTTATTTATTTTTGCAATTGGATACTGTCCTATTAAATTCATAGCAGCGTGATTATGAATCATATTTTGGATGAACGGGAAAAATAGATGTGTTTTAAAGGTTCAACTCTGAGCTTGGTTTCTCTCCTCCTCCGCTGACGTCAGCTGATGGGGTGAACCTTATGTGCATGCATGGCGAGCGCATTAGGCTTTCCCAACGGAAAAGTATTGACTCAATGCTTTCCTGTGGGGATTTACAAGAAGTGTTTGTCTTGTAGACAGCAACTAAAAGCAGGCTTAGCCTTTCAATGCAAATGTTGTAGTTTCTCTAAAACTCAATGATTTACAATGCAGGGCTAAGGGGGACAGGGATACTGCACCCAGACTCCTTCAATGAGATTAAGTGGTTTGGGGGTCTATAGTGCTCCTTTAAAATATCCAACCTCCCAGTTGTCCTGGGTTCAGGAACACCTTCCTGAATTTGGGGTTCTGTTTTGCAATCCCAGGTTTGTTCCCTTGTGTCCTGCATCTTTAGGAGAAATGTCCCAAGTCACCGTAGTGTGAGTACAATTCAAAAGTGTTCTGTGCATGGGTAGCCCAGAATGATACAAGCAGCCACCCTGCCATGCACCATCTTTAGGGATCATGCCTCTCTTTTTGGCACATACCACTATGCCTGCGAGAGAGAGAAACACTATAGGGAGCTATAGTGCCAGGAAAAGTAAAGTAAACACATTAGAAACAAATACTAGGAAGTCACAATTCCCTTTTAGCACTCAAGTTGATCTATAACCATAGCATACATACTTTTCAATAAATAACCTCTGAAATACACCCGTTTTGCCAAATCGTTCAAGCAGATGTACATTTTAACAGATTTATAGCAAAGTTAATGTAACATATCTGTTTGCAAATGTAACGTCTTACAAAAATAAAAATCTACAAGGTGTCAATTACAAGTATTATTATTACTACAAGTATTATTCATAGATTATTTCGAGTATAGATGTGAAAAATAAAAAGTTTTTTATAAATATCAGGTTTCAAAAACTATAGTTTCATAAGTGACTCACACAAATCACTGCAACAATGGGGATTACAAGATATACAAAACTGACAGACTCATTCAAGAAACTCCCAAACAAAATTCATGAACCTTTAATTTAATTTTCTTTTTACTTATATAAAAAGCTTGGGCAGATGTGCAAACAGTTACTCATAGTGACTTAAAATACAAGTTGGAAAAATGCAGGACATAAAAGCAGTTCTAAACAAATCTACAACTCTACTGATTATTCAGTGAATTACACCTAGCTCATTATTTCTCACTAAACCATCTATGACTCAAGGTTTATATATACCCACCATGAAGATTTGCTTAACCCCCTTAAGGACACGACGTGTGTGACATGTCATGATTCCCTTATTCACCAGTGCCGCCGGGCAGAGGTGCTTTAGGGTTAAACTGTTTGAGAACACCATTTTTCATTAATTACCCTTGCTGACTTGAAATCCCCCACCACAAAAAAAAATCCTCCTCCATCGATGTCACTTCTTCCCTCACTATAGGTTAGGGATGTGCATTGGCAAAAAATGGTTCAGTTCGGCACTTCCGAAATTCAGGACTTCGGCAATTCCCAAAGCCTAACCCTACCCCTAAGCCAACCAGAACCTAACCCTTAACCCCAACCCTTAACCCTACCCCTAACCCAACCCTTAACTCTAACCCAACCCTACTAGGGTTAGGGAAGGGGTAGGGTTAGGGTTAGATTCCTGTCATCATTCCCTTAATTTTCCCTCCCTCCCCTGTTCTGCCACTTTTCAGAAATCCGAAAGAAATCCGAAGCACTTCGGGAATTCGGAAGCATCCGAATGTCTGAGTTTCCGGAATTCATCCGAATTTAAATTTGGACCAAAATGAATTTCACATGTCTACTATAGGGTAGGAGGAAGGACGGTCAGGAGGATAGGCTTGGGAAGCACAGGGGGAGGGAGATGTTGTCATTGTATGTGTAGAATCTGTCATCTCAACAGACTCTGAGCTCCATGACTAGTTCAAAAACACTGAACTGGTCATGGTGCTTAGCTTGCAAGCAAATGGAAATTAACCTATAGGACGATGGTTGTAAAGGCAGACCCAAGGTAAGAGGTCATACTGTTTGAAAAATGGGGGTTGCCAGAAAACTTCTGGCAACATAACCAGTACAGAAGTTGGTAGAGTACTACGAGTGTTTCAATAAAGTCTGTTCACATAGATATCTATACAAATAGAAGACTGAAATATGATCTCGTACGAAGGTGTTTTGCAGAATATAGAAGTCTTTTGGTTACCTGGGAGACATTGAGTGCAGCAGCCATCTTGTTCTTTGAGGCAATTGTCAGATACAGTCGCACTGGTAATAGCAAGCAATGCAGTTCCTATGAAAAGTGCCAATGCAACTTTTTCCATGTTGTCTGTAAAAGACATAGTACATCACACGTGTAAACAGCCGAACGTGTATTGCAGCAGACCTTTACTTTCGCTGTGAAATATCTATATCTGCAAAACAATAGAAGCATTGTTTATTTCACATTACAAAAAAGGATGCCATAAACAGTAATAGTAACAAGTACCTCGTCTTTGTGAATACTAAGACATACAGCTTTGGAACATATATTTTTTAAAATATTTAAAGGAACTCTATGGGCACCAAGACACTCCATTTCAATTAAGTGGTCTCTTGGCCAATATCTCTCGTGTTTTAACCGTTCGTACAGTTAGATAAAACTACAGCATTTGAAATACATTTGTTTTTCTTACAATATATCTTTTTACGCAAAGAATGAGAAGAGTGCATTCTAACAGGGCAATAAGAGTCATTCATTTCCCTAGCTGTAGTAAAACTGCAATACTTGGATTATCATCTGATTGTTGAGATCTTGTTGCCACAGATTTATGATTGTATTCTTAGCAAATTTTACCATTATAAAGGAGGAATTTCTATTAAGTATTCTTTGCCATAGTAGACAGGTCCCTCCACAACAGCTCTTAACACTTTTCCACTGGTACAATCATATGTGTCCATCACCTACCTCTACAAATGCATAACATCAGCAGTTGGCTATTAAAGTGTAATTGTTGTGAAAAAATCAAAGTGAATTTCATATTTTATGTCACAGTAGTGGAACTGGGTAAATTCTCTGTCAAGTACATTTCCAATTTGGCCATTTTGGGGGAAAAAAAGGCGAATTTCCAATTCTAGGAAAAGATAGGTGAGAGGAAATTATAGCTGACTGAGAATTTAAAATTTACTTTGAATTTCTTACAATTCACATTTTAGTTAACGACTCCATCAGGTTTCTGTTATTTTTGTGATAGTTAATTTCTAATGAATAGACTAATACACTTTTTCCATATAATTTTTTTTATATAAGGGTGTTTGGTTGTTCTCTTTTGTGGCACAAGAAAGTTACCAGTCTTGTTTTTCTTGAGCCATTATAAAATTTCTTGATTTGCTCAGAAATAAAACAAAGAGGAAGTGTTTGCCAGTTAATAACAGAAACAATATTTCTTTACAATTCTATCTAGTTTGTACGGTTTATGTTCCCAGAAACGTACAGGGTTATTTATTAAATGCTGCATTTTATGCATTTATATCCAAACTTATAACAGTAAAAACAAACCACTAAAATTACATTATTACACTAAATAATTCAGTAAGGAAAAAGCCACTGAATGTTCCTGATGCTGAGCATTTAGTAATAAAACAAGCCAGTCCCAGGATGATTTCTTCACACACGTGAAAAACATGTAAAGTACCTTTACTATGTGTCTATAAACACTCTTTTGATGCAGAAACCAGTACTATCAAACTATGACCAAAAAAACTGTTAGGAAGAGTTAATGCATTGCAAAAGCCCCAGCAGCAATGTATCCAATATTGCACATGTACAGAGATAGACATAAAACTTTATATACTCCATCATCAAAACACTTTATAGTGGGCAATTAGTGACATATTAGCTGCTGTACTTTTTATGATTCGCTCGTACTCTGAATGATAGGGGTTGTAGGCTCGGGGAAAGATAAACTGTAAACGTTTCTTTTTATAGATTGGGATATACTTACATTTCACAGTTCCAGGGTTTTGCAGCGTTGACTTGCTCTTGCAGATGCTGACAGTGCACTCATTACGGAGTGATAAAGGAACAGAGTAAATTGTGTCCTTAATTCCATGCAGATATATCCACTTTGTTCTCAGATAAAACAAGTCATTCCATAGACACTGTTAGAGTAGCCGTGATGTGAGTGGTAGTAGTACAGAATCCCAGAGTTACGTGAACATCTCTTACATCTTGCTTAAAAAAACAGCGTCATCAGGACTTCCCCATGGGCGGAGATTCAAAAAAAACCCAAGTTAGCTGTGTTACGTTAGATATTAGAGCAGATTATTAAACGCTCTGTATATATTATATATACACAGATTATGCAACATAGCTGGAGTAATCACAAAAAGCGACCTAAGAAACGAAGGGGCCTTGAAGAATTTGACCAAGTTTTGCCCTATGGACTCATACATCTAATGATCATACAAGATGCTTCAATTTGCAACGATATTTGAGAACTATACAAATAAGACTACTTAATGTTCTACTCCATCTCTCAAAGAGTTAATGCAGTATGCAAGGAATCAAAGTCAGCGGCTCGTTTTAACCCCTTACGTGCCACAAAGTGCAAGTGATCATGATGTGTCAGTAAAATAATCAATTCAGTACAGTAAAGCAGGGATTAACCTTGAGTCTGTATATACAAATTGTGAACTCGTGTTATTTCAGTGGGTCCCCACAGGCTGATAAAAGGTATGAGAGAGGTTAACTGAGAGCACACATACAGCAGTGGTGCATTTTTTTCAGCTTCCCTAGGCATGAAACAAGGGCACCCCCAACACACACACACACTGACGGACACAGATACACATTCATTGACAGACACACACACACACACACACACACACTAACGGACAGAAACACAAACACACATTCACTGACTGACGAACACACTCAGTGACAGACGCACACTCTAAGTGCCAGACACACTCACTGACAGACACACACCCAATCAGAGTCAGACACATACACACTGAGAGACACACATGCACACTCCCTGACAGACACACACATTCATTAATTGACACACACACTCAGTAACAGACACACACTCATACTAACACACTCGCATTTTTTTTGCTTTTTAAATTTCAATCCACCCAGCCTCCCTACCTTTGGGAGTGTTAGTGTGGATTCTCTATTTTTATGGGGTCCAGTGGGACTACTGGGCTGGTTCCTATGGTGCTGAGCAGATGACGGTCAATGGAGGTGGCGAGGGAGCTCTTCTCTTCCTGCTCTTTTCCCTCGCGCCGCTTAGTGATGCCGGGGCCGGAGTAATGTCATATACCGGCTCTGACACCACTTCGGGGCACACAGGGAGAGCCCAGGAGACAGCGCTTCCTCTCCTCCCACCTACAAACAGAGCAAATGCAAGCCTCGGGAGCAGGCCCAGACTGGCAAATGCCGGGTGGGCTGCGGTGGCCGTGGGCCGAAGCCGGCAGGGAGATCACAGGATCTCCCCTGCCGGTCTTTGCAGGGCCGGCACTATCCGAGCGCCGGCCCTGCAGTATTCTACAGCGGGCCGGTGGGGAGATCAAAGATCTCCCTCACCGGCCCACATGCAGGATATTGCGGCCGCCGGCGGGGAGAGAGGGAGGGAGCCAGCCTGCCTGCCAGCAGAGGAACCCGGAGGAGCTCTAACTTACAGCTCCGCCGGGTTCCTCCAACAGGCTAGAGTTCACTCACCACAAGGACCACCAGGGATGGATTGCAGCCCCAGCAGCAGGATCCCCCCTCCAAGGCTAAAGGTAAGCAGGGAGGGGGGAAATAATCACTCAGGTCACAGCAGCCTCACAGATACACTGCACCCCTAACACTCCCAGTACACACATACACTGCACCCCTAACACTCCCAGCACACACACACACTGCATCCCTAACACTCCCAGCACACACACACACTGCACCCCTAACACTCCCAGCCCACACACACACTGCACCCCTAACACTCCCAGCACACACACACACACACACTACACCCCTAACACTCCCAGCACACACACACTGCATCCCTAAC